GTCATTACTTCACTCGACTGTTTACGAGTGCAAGATTTATAGTAATTAGGTAATGAATGTATCTTCGGATAATTCAGTAATTTTGTGCAGCAAAAATATATAGTTGCAGTTTGTTTTAATATTTCTTTAGATTATGTATTGTTTGTCAAAAAACAAGTTCTAATGAATGTTTACTTAATTTAAATTTAATGTATCAATAGTGTTGCTTTAAATTTATTATAACGTTAATGGACGTTTGTGGAAATGGGTGATTGTTAATATTGATGTTTGGTATAGGCCTCTGGTACCTAGATCAATATTTATATTACCATTGACCTTAATAAAGTGTGATAACGTTTATTTTGTGATAAATTACAAAATACTTTTAATAATAATCAAACTAGCGATTCTGTATAATATGGGATACGGTGTCCCTTATGAAAATAAAGAACTGAAAAACATTCAAATTCGATTAACAAGTTAAATTTCTTCGACAGAGAACTGACTTGTTATGACACTTACCTTACACGACCGCGGCTTCGGATATCTATCTCACGATTTCGTCTAAATCCCGCTGGACTTTAAGATAATCGCAACACGATACGTGAGACTTTCAGCCTCGAAGAGATATTGAGAAGTATAATATCTGTTCTCAATTCCTTTTCTTCCATTTAGTTGCTAGTTTAAATAAGGTTTATAGAAATGATATTTTTACTTAAGCTTTCTAGTATTTTAATACCTTATAAATACCTATTTTTCTAAAGAAGAAATATTTGATTATTCATTTGTTTGCATCGAATAGGCTTCGAAAGTACTGAACCTATTTGAAAAATTCTTTCACATAAAGGAAGCTACATCATACGATGGTTACAAAATCTAAAGTTTTCGTCGTCGAAGTCGCGGGAAAAGAAATGGTATAACCTTTAATTAATGTAAGATTTAATTAAAAATGAAAATGTGTTATTATCATGTGTAAAATTCGCTAATGGCAGCCTCATAATTGACTTAAATCGAAAATGAAACCAAATCAACCTATATTCTATCAATTCTTCTGGTCACTTTCTATCTATTTCCATCAATAAGAGAAATAAAAAATTGATAAAAGAACTGCTGTTGCCTTTGATTTAGCTAAGCAGCCAATGTGTATTTTGTTAACCTACATGTTATTATCTAATATAAACTTTGTAACAATCAAATAACAGACGAGGGTAAGTATTCATATACCTTTTCTCTAACCATCACCCAATAGGTACGGATTTTAATTTATTGTGTTGATAGCCCTAGCTAAGCTTTGGTGTTGATTACTTACTGTAGCACGACGCGACTTTTTTCTTTTTCGTCGTGACTTACGTGCATACCGGGATATACTTGATCTTCAGATCAAAAGATATCAGACTACATGTAGTATTTACAACATTATATGGTACATATATATGATAAAACTGACGAATTATATGATATGACACGACGCACCTTGCACAATAGACAAATATTATGCATGACTAAGCTTTCTTATCAGTTTTTTTATTTTTTTATTTATTAACTAGTGCCTAGAGTATTTTTGCAAAGTCTAGTGGTACAGGTTGCGTTGGTAACTACGAGGAATCCGGTAAAAAGATTATGGGCCCTTTTCCCACTTTCCTACAATTCGAGTAGTAAACGTTTTGTTGTTAGTTGTATAATGGAATTCTGAAACAACTAAGGTAATTCAACACCCAAACCAGAGACAATATAAAATAAGTTCATTTTCAATATCGACTCGCCGGGTAGAGAAACCGGGACTTAAAATGGCGATACCTCGACACCTGGAACTTTCATACTTAAAATTAGGACTAGTCAGATGCATGGCTCGTTAAATTTCTTTTATTATTTAACTCTGACTTGAAATAGTTATTTAAGATACGAGTGCGGAAAGTAAGGTTTTACGAATAAGGGCCAAATTGAAAACATGAGCGTAGCGAGGATTTTCATTGGCACGAATTCGAAAACCTTTTACGCTCAAGTTTCTTACAACATTTTCAATGCTTTTTGCGAGGAAATAAAATAAATATATAGGTTAATAAAACTAAGTATGTATTAAAGGTAAAATTATTTGTTAAAATTAAACGTGATATTTGAACATGTTCTCGTGTCATACATTTTTATTTGAAAATATTCGTTCTAGGCTCCTTGAAATACTTTTGCCTCTAAAGTTTGACATATTTTCATAATTTTTTTATTTTTTATTTTTTGGTGCTCGACCAAAAAAATTAAAAAAATACTTTAAAGCACGTGTGCAGTAAAGGATTTCAGTACTTTTTTATTTAACATGTGTTTGAGGACTCACTTTCGGTGTTTACAATGGATTAAAAAAAATAGCGCTTTATAAGCAACTACATTGAAAAAATAATTAATTGACTCTAAACCATAGCGAGGCTCCCGATTGCGCGGGGCCCGTAGCATTTGCTACTTTGGCTACGTGACTAATCCGTCCCTGCAACCGAGGTGGAAACATACGAGCCGTCTAATCGTTTGTTTATATTTAAGTACATACCTACTCATATTATGAACTGAACTTTCATAACAGTTGACGGTAGACGATGTCTGACCTCACCACGACTCTGAACTAAACAGACCCCCCAATAAACCTCATTTTCGTTTTCGACAAGCCACGAATTCGTTTAACAGCGCATCGCATCAGCGCGTTCCGATTTAGTTTTCACTTTATAATTTCATTAAAACTACAGATGCTGTTACTGCTTCCGACGGTGTGACGGGTTGACAGCAATCCTTTGAGTTTTGCAAAAGTTCCCACGTTCAGAAATTGCAAAATAGCCTTTATTGTTTCAGAAATAAGGTTTTATTGTTAAACAAATCGGTTTTGTATAAAGGTTAAATGTTAACCACCTGCTTTCAAGGGAGTTCAGTTCACAATTGCGGATTATAGCTGTTTGTTGGATATAGGCAAATTGTTTTGTGATGAGATGACATGAATCGGTGCAAGGTTCAATGATGGAGCTTTTTCTGGACATGAAGCTGCATGTTCTTGGGTTTTAGAGAACGTGTTAAGGTCAAGTTATAGGTAGCGAGCGACTCATTAGTATAAATTATAATAAATAACGCGCTCTAAATAAAAATATATAGAGTCAACATCTCATCAGGTTAATTTAAAACTATATAATTTAATAGTTTTTAAATAAATTTCAATTATTATATTTACTAAATTTTTAGCATTGAAATTTACTTAAAACGCTGGGAGGACGCTATAAGCCGAAGTACAGTAATAAACTAGCTTGGCTAGAGTTGCCAACTTTTTTTGCAAAATTTGCTAGCCAGGGTTTTATATTGTTTAATATTTTATTTTAGTATATTTTGGCACATAAATAAAAATATTAAAAATAAAAACAGAAATACTCATCCGATCATGAAAATTCTTTTCAAGTAAAGTCGCGGGAACAGCTAGCTTCTTTATAAAGGCATTGTTACACTTATAGACGAATACCGTCCATAACCTTGTCCTACGCTTCTCATACGATATTACACAGCAATTAAGTGTAATTATGTGTTTGTCCATATGTCGACCTCGCTCTGAAACAATCGACCAATTTGCTTGTCGGCCCAGGAAGCGCGTGATGTGAAAATTACATACGGAATTTGGTGTTTACCTGCACGTAAAATTGGACCTTATGAGGCTGACAATTAAAATATTAGTTGAGGAGCTACCAGTATTTGGTTAGAAAATGTAACCTTTTTTATGAAACTACACTGACCTGCAAGAGTATGTATCACACGTTTGAAACCTATTTTTTTTGTAATCTATATAAGTTTAGCGATTTAAAATAAATACCATGTTATAGTAAATTTTATCAGCTTTATTTACTTTATTTTACTAAATTAAATTCTTTTTCGAGTCCTTTTTATTTCGATAGTGTATCTTGTGTACTTAAAAAGTTATTGCCATTTTAAAAGTGTGATACTTAGTTTTGCTGTCCAGTATATATATGTTGGTACCTAAGCAAGTATATTTGCTATTATATGGAGCTCGATGGCGCAGTGGTTAGCGATTTCTGCGATGTGGAAGTTAAGCTACTTTTGCAAAGGCCGATCATAGGATGGGTGACTAAAATTTATTAATACTAATACGCAATGGAGCGGCGTATTGTGTTATGGCCCGTTCTCACTATTCAATTGCATTCGTTTACATTCACGAGACCTATGTCCCAGCAATAGGAACATTAATAGGTAGTTGATGATGAATGAGTTAAAAATAGTCCTAATGCTTTCGGGAAACTTGACGTAATGGATGGGGCGACCAAAAACTTAGCTCGAATTCCTCCGTGCCTGTAAGTCACTTCAAGGACAAATAGGCCAACTATTATATATCTCCTTGAAGTAAAATTTTAAATATATTACAGTTCTGTTTAAATATCCGTGAAGGTACCATAAAGCCCTGCTCCGTTGCGTCATTAATTATCGAAAAATGAGTTTATATGTATGTAGTCATATTAGCATTTCGAAAATAGATGAAATTTTGTTTTTCAGGAAATAGAAAACGCGTTTAGGTGTCATGTTAATTCATTCGAACTACATTCACGTCACGTGAATAGTCTTTCGTCTTTAGTCTCACTCATAAAGTAAGAAACTACCGTGGTTTTACTATAGTTTTCATATTAGGAATTTCTTTGTACATATCAAGAATGTTTGATATTTCTAACCGAAATCGAAAAGGAGGTTCTACGTTCGACAGGTATATGTGGGTATATTTTATGAAGATTTTTTTTTTCATGTCGTGTTGAAGTTAGACAAATATAACTTGTTTATTTAATCATACTTTATCGTTACTTTATGTGAAATTATAATATGAAGCCTAAGATGTAATTTATATTTTTTTATGACCGAGGGCCGGTCAGAACTGCTACTTATATGATATTATATTCGAACTTACACATTCGAGGGAAATGCCGTCGCGTAGTAATGCTACTTCTATGAAACAATCTACCTTGTGTGTGTGTGTGTGTGTGTGTAATTAAACCACTTTCAGTACTAGACAAATAATTTATTTCAATTTACAACTCTTCTTGTGTTTCAATATTTCGACAGGCGTCAACGAAAGCGTATTGCCGCAACTCTCGCACTTATATTCTTTAGCATTAGGTCTATTGTCCTTTGTTATTTTAACGGGCTCCTGTTCAGTTTCGCGTTTAGAAGAACATGTGAACTCCTTGTGTTGTATTCGTTCTAGAGGAGACAGACATAATGTAATGCCGCAGTCAGGACACGACCAAGTAAGACTGTATGCTTCTTGGTAGAAATTGTAACTCCAATCTGTGTCTACAACACTGGAAAAAAATAAAGAATACCATATTTATTTTAGTTACATTTCGTTTCTAAAGTACACCTATATCTGCAATTATCTGTTTTTTTGATAAAACTTATTTTTTTATGATAGATCTAAGACAGTAGAATAGATTTGAATAGGGTTGCCGGGCAAGAATTAATCACAACATTTCTTTTTGTGAAATTGCAGTCATGTTTTTTTCTAGTAGCACCACTCGGCATTGAAAGAGAATGATGTAAGGTGTTACCGCTGGCGCCATCTAGTTTAAGGAAGGAAAGGCTCCCCGCCTAACTGTTGTCGTCGTGAATTCGCATACATATATAAGATGGATAACCGTTTGAGGAGCTCTCTCTCTCCCTTTTTAACAATTATAATTTGAAATTATATACGTCTCTAAAAACTTGTAATACGTGTATCCTAAAAAATATACGATATTTTTTGCAAAGTAGAAAGAAATAAAATTTCTTCATTTTGTCTACCACCCTGTTTCGTCAACGGCCTGGCACTGGCATCCTCATAGCATCTGCCTCGACATATGGAATCGAAATAACCATGGTAGCCGCAACCCATGGGTTGCCAAGTGTAAACAGGTTTGCAAATGTATTATATATCAAGTTAAAATTCTTTTATATACATTAAAAACTAGCCAAGGGTTCCGTACCGAAAACGAACAAAAAAGTCACATATGTTGTATAAAATATATATTTTATTCTGTTAAGGATAATACGGGAACCCTACTATGACTACGCTGTGTGTCTGTCTGTCTCTCTATCTCATTAATTGTGAAAGTTATACAGTTTAAATCTCCACAGATGTCATGAACGGGTCTGAATGCGATTTAAGATAGGGTGATTCAAAAGGAAGGTACTTATGTCTAACACAAGACCATTCATTATTCAAATTTAAAAATAAATTAAATTACACTTACCAATTATAAACTATATTGTCTGTAACGTAAACTCCGCCTTTCTTCTCGTGCGGGTGACATTCGAAACCCTGTTCGAACGGATTAGGGTCTATATTCGGATGCACTTCGCCTGGGCCACAATACATGACTTTCAGGTCGCCGGGCAGCAACCTCCTTATTGTGTAATACACTTCACTGTTCATATACGAGCTGACGTCACACGACAACTGGTATTGAAGCTCTTCGTATGATATATTCGAGGTTTGCTTTCGTAGTTCGCTTTCCACGCTCTTATTAGGGTCGGCATCTGTTGAGGAGAAAATAGGGGATATTACACATAGCTCGACGTGGATGGCAGCACTAAGACATGTAGTTATCATCATTAGCTCTCTTACGTTGCGAGGTTACCACTGCGGGGATCAGGTTATTCTTATGGATAGTTAAGGAGAATGAGTTATGACCCCAGCAAAATGTGGATTGGAGGGCATTAACGACTACAAATGCAGTCGGGACCAACAGCTTAACGTACCATCCGAAGCACGGAGTAGCCCGAGATTCCCATCCCGAGGTCACCCATCCCGTGATCTTTGCGAGTTACTTGACAACAACGATCTCGGACCGCGGCGCTTATCCAGTGCACTAACGAGCTACTCCAAAGTTTTTGCGAACAAATTTTCGTCTTTTTCATACATTCAAATATGCAACAATAATGTATTATTATTCGATAAAATTACACTGTTCCTATTTCTGTTATAAAATTATAATGTGACGAAAGAAAGTTGCAATAATACGGCTAATTACACAGACGCATTATAGAGCAGAGGAGCGAGACCTTCAATTGTCTTCAGTTATGAAGAATGAAGATCGAAAAGACATGACTCAAGAAATTCCCAATATCATCGTTCTCCATCGCTAAAACCACCATTTGTTAGACCAAGAAAGATAGCGGCTGTGCGATAAAACGTGATAGACAACAACGCTTTCTTTCTCGCTCTAGCAAGCGACAGTTCTGAGCGATAGTTTTTATTCATAATTGATTGCTTGATTTTAAAATTTCTTCATTTCCATAATTTTAAATTAAATGCTTTGACTAACATTTTGACTTATTATTAGGTACAATCTGTAGACTACAGGCGTTTTTGTATAACATTAACATTTAGATGAGGTTAGTAAAGCATAATTAATAAAGCTTTATGAAATGCAGAGTAACAAATAAATATTCACACATTATTTGTTTAATTTGAATTTGGAAATAACTGATTTTTACTAGGTATCTAGATTTAATATTTTACAACAAGATAATAAACTTAGAGATACTAAATAAAATGTGGGTAAACATCTTTCATTATGCACATAGTGAACCAAACGTAGCTTGTGATCGACCCAGTATTATATATTAACTATGTGATCGACGTGGATAAAGTCATTTATATAAACTCTGCTAACGGAGGTAGGACTTCAATTTGTAATTAAGAAAGTAGGGATAGAGCAAACGATATCGACAATAAGTTTTGGCGTAACGTAAATTACGTAGACGGGATTTGCCAATGTTAAATATTAAGCTACTACTGTGTGCAAAATTTTTATTTATGTATTTTTTTTATTATTTAAGCACAAATTGCTTGTCGGAAACGGAATTTAACTTAAATTTAACGTTTTGTGTTAAGATCACCGATGATTAAGGACGCATTCCAAAGTTTTATTACTATGACTAGATCGTTTTGTAGCAGAGGAAGATTGGGGGAATGACGAACAGATTCAAGAGCAATATTTAAACCTGAAAATTGGATGTTCATGCTCTCAATTCATTGCATTTGAGGAATAACACAGCACTCTGTAAAAGACGTCTGGAATTTAGAATGAGCTTATTTTCCTGTTTCTTTGCTTCTATGGGTTTTAAATAATTATGTCGAACTAATGTTGGCTGATGATGATGATGATGAATGTTGTTCTAAACAATTTTCTTGGGCAATCACTTGCAGCATGAGATTCAATGCACTTCACGCATCTAGGTGGCAGATTACAGTGCTTAGATGTATGTCCAAAAGACAGACAGCGATAACATTGAGTTCTTAAATATGTTTAAACTTTAAACTTTATAGTTTGAACAGCACAGCTACTGATGTACTTAATATTAAGGAATGCCACTGTATCAGTTCCAGTTCAAGAAAAGGGTTGTCTTCGATAGTTTCTGTCTTGGCATATGCAATTAGTGCCCTAATTTTTTCGAGCAAATGTAAAAATGGAAGCGTTTTCTGAGCGCAGTTTGAGCTGCATGTCTATCAGTGCAATGAAATTAAGCGGCTAGCTTGTTATTACCTAAGAACTTAAGGTGATATCCTATAGTATAACGAGAGAGCATACTTTTAATAAATTCAGTCAAAGGGTCCATTCTGGGTTTCTTAGGAGGTGGATTGATAGGATCTTATTTGTATTTTTCTTAGATAGTTGCCTCCCGAAACTGCGACTGATGGGCTGAATTCTATATGCATGTAGATATTTAGGAAGAGCTGTATATTTTTTAAACGTCTTGACATGTTGATTAGGTTAAAACTGCAAACTCGGCGCTGTACGTTTTGGTATTTTCCATTCTAACTCGACGTCTCCAAGTTTTTTAGCAAGTATGTTGTCAAGTGTAGAGATGGAGTTGGATCGAAATATATATTTTTCCGTGTCGTTAGGCGACTGTGTTATGGATATGCGTAAATCGAATCATTTTGTTTATCGAACTAAAATCAACGCCGAAATATCAGCTTCCATAAATATTTCATTTACCTGCCAATCTCCTGTTGATCAATGCGTCCCACCGTTGTCGAAGCTTAGTTGCTTTCAGGAGCAAGTTTAATCCCGTATCGGGATACGGGAACTCTAACAGCAGCCAAGAGTCGCATACTATTCTGAAAACACATTTCATTTTTGGAGTTTATATCCTTCAGAGGGAAAATTCATTGGATTTTTTCATCTCGTTCTTAATGATTATCTCATTTTATATCTACTTCTTACTAATATTACGAGTATAAAAGCGGAAGTTTATAACCGAACGGATTTTGGTGAAATTTTATATACAGATAATTCTAAGATTGGAACTACATATAAGCTATTTTTGATCCCACTACTTTTAGTGTTTTAGTACTATAAAGTCAATTTATAAGTCACACAGGCTAAGCCGCAGATGAAAAGCCAGTTTCCTTATATAATAATGTAAAATCATACAAAAATTCCAAATGAATCCAGAGGCCTGATTGTCTAATTTTTGATCTTACGCAATCCCTTTCAACTTGTTATTTGGTTTTTTGAAAGATATTGAATAAACAATACCGCCTATTTGTAAATATTACTTAAACTTTAAATTACTAATTTTTTATTGTCTATTGATCATTAAATTATATTTTTTCTAAAAGCGATTGCAACTTTAAACGTTAACTGATTCAAAAGAAAATTATATCTTTGAAAATTATTGCGACAGATTTTAAAATGAGTTTCTTAGGCCATTCGGCAAAAAGAAAATATAATGTAAGACAGTAAAAATAGGTAAGCACATACCTAGTAAACCCCATGTTAGTGTCAATAGAATGGGCCAGCAATAGAAGAGTCTGGGCAGCCGGCATTCGCATAGAATTCACTATATAAGGTTTTGTAGTCTCTAAAAGAGATCTGGAAATACAAAAAAAAAATCTTTACTCATCTAATATTATAAAGATAAAAGATTTGATTGTTTATTTGCATCGAATTGGTGCCAAAACTACTGGACTGATTTTAAAAATTCTTTCATCTACAAGAATTTACATCTTATGCGGTGAACATAGGCTTTATTATAAACCGAAAAATAGCAAATAAAGGCTGAAAATGGGAGTGGAAGTTTGTAAAGGGAATCAAAAGGTTACCGTAGTAACTATTTGACTATTAAATTTGTCATTGTCATATCCGTGGCATGATATGTATCGATGTACAAATAAACCGTTTTCCGAGGAAAGATTCCTTTGTTTGTACTGAATAGGCAACGATGTAACTGAAGCGATTTTAAAAATTCTTTATTATGATGGCCCGTACGCCGTTTCAATACATTGCCTTCTCTATTAATAGGCTGATGATTATTTGGCTAGTAAGCAAATATTAAGTTTTAGAATTATCGAGTTTTAGTGACCAAGTTTTATGTCAGATACTGGTTTACCTAATAATAATCAAAATAAAACCTTAGCGGGATACGGATTACTCAAATTAAGATAGTGGATACAGACGGACAGACTGACGAATCAAAGTCTATATATCGTTCTCCCTGTCGGATTCGATTTGATTACATAGATAAGCCATGTTCCCCAGATAAAGTAGAATATGATCATACACTTACAAGTAACACAGTATTTGATGTTTAGCTGACAAAGGCACTTTAGCCTTATATCCGGGTGGTCCGTCTGTTTGTATGTCAGCTTCGCTCAGTTGCAATACTCGAGGTTGTTTACCGAAGTACGAGTTCGGATGGAGAAATACAAACGGTTTACTCCAAGTGTGATACAGTTGTTCCGATATAGACTAAAACGAAAATAACAACAAATATACATAGTTACTACATAATAGGATTATTAACAATTTTTGAAAAATATTTGAAATCAAGTCATACAGGTTCAAATAAAAAAAAAATATTTTACCGTAAATATCAAGACCAAAATGTATTATTTAAAAATTTTCAATTTATATCTAGCGCTAAATGAAGGCATTAATGTCCGCCATATTATGACGTAAATCCTTTGTATACTGATTTTGACAGCAATTAAGTATATTTATAAACACGTTTTTTTTTATTTTTTAAATACATATAATATATTTGTATAAATAAATAATTATATTTGTAAATACATATATTAAGATGTAGACTCGCGAGTTTTGACAATGACACTGACAGCTGACACATTGGTATGACATACGCTTTAAATATTTATTTGACGTCACTCGACACGCACGTTAGAATCAGTAATTTTATCTAGTAAAATATACGTAATCTGAACCTAATAATAATAGGGATGATGACTAATTTTTGTTTGTTTGTCCGTCAGGTAGAGTGTTAAAAAATATTAAACACGTATTTTTTTATCTTTTCCGTAATCATAAAATTACGGCGTTACATGGAGTTGAAATTTCCCATGACGTTACGTTAGGGTACGTTTTCTACTCAACTGTGACGTAGCGAGCCCCCATTCCTCAACTTTAATGCTTGTTATCTAAGCTATTTCTTGTTAAATTGAATGAAAAAAAATACGTATTTAATATTTTTCTATTATCTGATTGACGGACTAAATAAAATTGCATTTTTTTAATAAAAATTTCACATTGTATATCACTGTCAATAACCATATTGGTGATAAAGAAACTGCATTCGGAATGTAAAAGCAAATTGTGTTTAGTAAATCAGATACAAAGACATAGGTTAACTCACTTTACAATGGTTAAATTGATCAGCAACAGCCACTTGTGGATACAACGCTCTGCATAAAACTATCTGTTAACAAGATACATAATTCATGATTTAACTAATTTTCTATGAAAACATATAAGTAATTATTAAGTAGAGGAAAGTAAATGAACAAATGCCCAGAAATGAGACACATTGAATATAATTCGGCATCAATTTCAATATCTCTGTAGAAATGTGGTGTTGGTTGATAAATTCTCTAACATCGTTTGGCATAGGTATAGATTGCAAAGAAACCTGGTAGATGGCGTTTTCTTTCGATTTCTAGGTCACAAATTAATAATGAGGAAATTATTAATTGTATCTATTAATTAATGAGCTACTATTAAGATAAAACTAGGCAAAAAATATACAACCTTCAACATAATCAGATCTCTTCCGCTAGATGCGCTGGCCCCATTGATCAGCGAACGTATCCTGGCGGCGTCATTAGTCATACGAAACTCTATATCTCTGATATCTAATGCGTCATCGTCTCCCTTTTCATCGACTATCTCCCAAGAATCAACTTTTAACCGTTTCTTTCGTTTCGAATCTTCAGCTGCTCTCTGTTTGTACTGCCTGGAAAATAGATCTTATCTTAACGATTCTAAAGGCTTATATTCATTGGTCGATATAACTCATATGGAGACTCTCCGAAAGTGTCTAATAAAAGTAAACAGTGAAAACCGCCTGCCAGAATAGTTAGTTGTATTTTGTAGCAGATCTCTAGATGCCCCTTTTTTATCCGTCATTATTTGTCTAATAGAGTAAATCCTTAAATTATTTCTTTATGGTAAAATACAATATACCTTCTCATATCTTTCAGTTGTTTCAATTGACCGTGACGCATCGCCCGCTCAGCAGACGACATAGATTCCGGTTCTGGAGTTTCCATCAAATTATTATCCTGGAACAATATTTAACGAATGTTAAAATTATTGAATTTAATAAATCACTTGCTTACTGTTTGTTACACACGTGGACAAATCCATTTTCTGCTTTGAATATTTTAAAAAGTAAAACTAACGCTGTATATGTACTGCCGTAATTTTGTGTTATGCAACATTTTATTATGTCTGAAGATGTTAACTTTGTATTCAGTAAAATGAGTGAATTGAAAAGCGTAAAGCTTTTAAATTAAAAATAAAAATATACTAAATATTAACATATCGAGGTTTAGGCTCAAAATCGATTGCCTTGACCTTTTGTGGTAATCAGACTGGTTATTCCAAAATAAAACATTAAATATCCCAGTTTCCTAAAAACTACCATCACGAATTTGAATTTGCGTAGAATTACTACAAAACCAGATTAATCAGAGACCCCATTTTGTAAAAACGTATAACAAAGATCGAAAGCGCAAAACGCTTGTGTCAGATTTAAGTATAGAATTGGATAGAGGTAATAAAGTTCATACTGTCTGTGCAAACTTCAAAAGCGCGTTTGATAGAGTTAACTTACATTGCTTCTAAGTAAACTAGAATCAAATGGAATCTGTCGGTTGCTGTTGGATTGGTATAAATGATATCGAGAAAATAAGTCTCAAATAATTGCCACATGTAGGTACAAAATTCATAAATATTATTCTCCATCGGAAGTGCCACAGGATTCTCAACTTGGACCAGTCTTGTTCTCAATTTTTATCAATGATATAGAAAATGTAATAAAAATTCCAAATTCCATTATACATGAAAACTCTCGTATTATTTAATATCATAATTATGATAACTAAAGATTGTTATACTTGTAATAGTCCTCTAAGTTGTGCGGCGAGCTTGGTGAGTTCATACAATCGTTGTTCTTCAATGCCTCGTCGTTTACACCAGGCACGTCCCCCACGATTCTCCCCTTTGACAGTCAGCCAAGCGCAATACAACGATAGAAGAGTCAGCGGATCCCCGTGATCGGATTCTTCTGGTTTTCTTGCATTCTTTTAAGGATAAAAGATACATATTTATCGTCACTAATGACAGCAAAATCTGTGAGAATTACTGGCAAGAATTAACATGACACCTGAAAACCTATTTATTCTATTTCTTAAATAACAATATTTCACCCATTTTCGAAATGCTTGATACGACTCTCGAGAACTTATTTTTCGATAATTTGTTAAAATTTTATTTTGTTAAAACATAAGAACAATTCGAAATATTCTGTTTTTTCGTTATTTGTTCCCAATAAGAATAAAGCGTCATGTTAATTTGTATGAGTTATGATGTGGTGTGGTTAATTTGTATGTACTTACATTTAATTATCTAAGAAGAGTAAGTTTTATATTAAGAACTCACTTTTTATTTATTTTTAACACTATTGTTTGCCAACTAGTAATGTATTACGAAAATAGATTATTCGCGCTTAGTTCTCGAGAGGGTCAATCGTTGTGGCAAATCTGACGGAAGAATCATCGAGCGCATCAAAGGCAGGTTAAATATCATTTTATATACTTTATTCTGTGTGACGTATCGTGAAAACATGCAACGATTCTTCTGTCAGAAATGCATACCTCAACAGGTAAAAACTAAAACCTGACAGGATCATTCGGTTTCTTCCCCTGCCTGTCTATCCGTTTTTCAAAACCTATTTGCACCTAAACTACTTGGCTTGTTCAATGTTCAATAATTTAAAAATAAATAATTTTGAAGTTATTCTAAAGTAGTTGTGTAATAGTTGTATGCATGCGAATCCGACTCACACTTAACCATTTCTTATACAGATACTAATTTTAAGTAACATTATAATTAGCAACAATACATACCTCGCATTCAAAATCTCTGTGTGCTCTTGTAGTGAATATAGACCTGATGCCTAAAGCAGCGGCAAGTGCCAAAGCAGAGTCCCTCTTGTTGGGTGGAAGAGTCGCGCTGCCCACTACTATTGCTTTGGCTAAAGACACTTCCACAGGGAGGTTAGCTAGGGCCTTCCCTAATGCTGTCAGCTTCTCGTTGGAGGTTAAAGCGCCCTTAAAACATTTATTTCATTTAATTCTCACTTAGTTTGTAGCTCAGCAAGTATCTAAAGTGATTTAGTAGAGAATAATATGGATATGACCAGTATTACTAATTGTAACTAAAATCAAATGACTCGATCTCCTGGTCTCTACTTGACGTTTGAACAGATAATCAATTATGTTTATATTATTGTTATCATATTAATATTCTACATTAGAAAGTAGCTCCCCATTTAGGGTTAGCTTAGATGAGAAATATTTAATGAATTTAATTTATATAGAAAAACATATTTTATGTGTTCTTATATATATTGTTGATTTGGAACCGACTAGAAAGTCATTAATGAAATTATTAATTAAAAAAAAGGAGAGCAGTTCGATGACGCAGTGTATAGCGCGTTCGTTTTGCGGTTGCAGTTAAGTAATTTTCGCATAGATCGTTCATCGGAAGAATAACCAAAATTTATTATCTCCAACTCCTTCGCAGTTCGGAAGGCACATTAAGCTATTGATTCTAGCTGCGGCTGTATGTCATTAACACCCACCAATCCTCGCTAAGCAATCTGTCGTAATTCTATCCATAGCTTCCATTGCCACATCAGTGAGGACGTTAACAAAATGATGGTAAACAAGTGTATACATGTTGTTTAAGCTCCAGCAGGGCGTTTTCCACTGCGTCTTCAGGCGGGGCATCTAGGAACGGGAATCTTCTCACGTCACTGACTCCGAGCGAGCTCATGAGGAGCAGGAGAGATGCCAGCGGTACTCTCGATACTTCAGGGGTACTGAACTGTTCCATGTCGGAGTACTGCTGCTCCGAATATACGCGGTAACAAACGCCGGGACCTAAAAGTGATTCAGATTTGTTTAACTAAATTTAATACTTATAAAGACTATTATCACGTTATACGTTTCTATACTTTACTAGCGTTACGTTATGTTACACGTTATTTTGATTTACCTGTTCTACCGGCTCGGCCTTTTCTTTGATCTGCGCTAGCTTTAGAGATCCAGAATTCCTTTAGTCTCTGCATTTTGGTTGTTGAATCGTAGCTCATTTCCTTGACCTGTTTTATTTTTTTGAATATATATTATTTATCATCTGTTGAGTTTTCCTTAAGTTTATAGAGCGGTTTCTACCTTATTGAAACAATACGATTCTGAATTAAATTTTATAGATGTGGCAAATAATTCTCAAGCAATGCTTTAATAATTATTGCCCTGTGCTTTAAACGACAAAAATTTGGCTAAAACTTTTATAAATATTTATTTAGATACTTACCTTACCGGAATCCACGACAAATCTTATTCCGTCAATGGTAACTGAAGTTTCAGCTATATTAGTCGAAACAATACATTTTCTAACGCCATCTGGGGGATAGTCGAACACCTATAAAACAATTTATTAATATATGTTATTATTTTATGTAAATGTAGGTAAATAACAAGTCTAAATCATAACATGTACATTGCGTTTTCCCTTCTTGTGCAAATCGATAAACGTCAGAATTTTGGTGATATTTTTTTTTATAACTATGGCATTCGCAATATTGTTTTATATATAAATATAGATATATATTGCATAAATTTCAGTGAATATAAATTTAAGAGTGATGAGTTTAATATAAAATTAATGAGACACTTCGTTTAAGTTTTTACTTTTTTATTATTATTACAATAAAAAAAGTTTAGTCAATGATGTAATTACCATTAGTATCTAAGACTTCTTGCCAACGATCCGGCAAAGTTTGGATGCCTTTTGCCCAGAACTCTGATGGCTGTGCCTCGAAAAAGTTGTTCAACTCCGCCTCTACGTCAGAGAAATCATTAAATTGTTTACCCCGCAAATGCTGTTTCAGGGCTCTAAACAAATGATAGTCTGATGGGGCGAGGTCTGGGGAATAAGGTGGGTGGGGTATCGTCTCCCAGCCCAAGTTCTCCAACTGCCGGCGAACCACAGATGCGACGTGAGGTCGAGCGTTATCGTGCAGTAAAACTACATTGACTCGTCTTCGTCGTTTTTTCTTGATAGCGGCAGATAATTTGGTAAGCTGGGTTGAATATTTGTCAGCGTTTATAGTTTCATTGTGTAATAGCTCATAAAACAGTATGCCTTGCGCATCCCAGAAACAGCAAAGCAGAATTTTTCGGCGGTTCTTTTGACTCGGCTTCGGTTGAGTTGGTGGCGTTTCTTCTCGAGGCAGCCAAAAAGCACGACGTGTATCGTTCTCGTAATAAATCCATGATTCATCTCCAGTAACCAGATCTGACAAAAACTCTTTACGTCGGGGTCGCAGCAAAAGTGACTGACAGATAGCGACACGGACTGCACGACTGGCGTCTGTAAGGATGTGCGGTACCCACCGAGCCAAAACTTTTCGATAACCAAGCTCATGCAGATGGTGTTCCACGGCGTGGTGACTGCATTTAAGTGCTTCCGCTAATTCACGAGTGGTAGCATCCGGATTCAACTGCAGTTCGCGGCGCAAATCGTCATCATTCACTGCGGGTGGTCGCCCTGAGCGTGGCTGACTTTCAAGGCTCCTGTCTCCTGATTTAAAACGGTCAAACCATCGGGACACCGTCGCATGGCTTGTACTTCCAGCGCCTAATGCATTGTTGATATTGTCAGCCACAGCCCGCGCACTGTGGCCTAACAAGTACTCGTATAAGTATAGTGTTCGAACTTGTCGCTCGTCCATTTTTCTTCAAACTGACTAAACAAATCGCGAGCGCGGCTTTATATACCCTACACCAGAAGTACCTAGAATGTTCTACAACATTCTAGAATATTATCGAAAAAATTGATTTTAAAAAGGAAATGTTATAGATTTTTCTAGTGTGTCTCATTAATATATCCTACAAAATAGTTACTTTTGGAAAATGAAGCAGCAATTGTCATTAGCATTTGCATGGCTGTTTTAAGGGACAACTAGGACTAGAAACATTAAAGGTAAAGTAATGATAGAGTTCACCTTATCTTGTTCCGTTAGGGATAAACCGCTATGTAATGGCAACACTATCCATTTCTTAGTCTTTTCTGCGTACTGCTGTGCAGCATCGCAAATTGCTGTAATCTCTTGGACACCGGACATAAATATAAGTAGATCACCGCGTTCATCACCTGTCATAATTAAATTACAATGACGATCTGTATGTTTAAGTACACTCGCGATGACGCCCTATTTCAAGTTCTAGCGGAATTGCCAGTTAGGGCAAGAAAGTAATCGAATTTTTCCTTATTTTTCTAAGTCTGAATTACTTCGGCAAAATATGAATAAATATATAAAAATATTTCGTATTCAGTTGTGTATTAAAAATCGATACAAAAAATTTTGGAGATCGATAGTGCAATGACTAATGTATTCGGCCTGCCTTGTTGTTAAGCAACTTTCGCGAGGGGCGGTCATTCGATGGGTGACCAAAAATTATTATCTCAAAAGGCAAGTTAAGCCGTTGGTCCCTGCTGCATCTGCAGACGTTAACACCCACTAAAACACACTGGGCGCGCGTAGTGGGTCATGGCCCATTCTTCCTATTCAAATCGATTCCACTCCATACATAGGGACGACGATCTATACCCCAGCGATCGGGACAATAATAGGCTGGTGATGATGATGATACTAATATTAGAAAGAAGCAAGAATAATTGTTTGTATGTTTGCATTTAAGAAGCTCTGAAAATACTGAACCAATTTTAAAAATTCTTTCATTTACAAGAAGCTGACAGGTGACTTAGGATATAAATTACACGAGTGAAATCGGGGGATAATTGCTAGTATACTGACTTGGATATTTGCTTTCAATCAGTTGCATTATCTGTACATATGGTTGGGGATCCAATCTGTCGTCGCGGGTGGGCTTATCATCTATCAATATAGGTTTGTAACGAAGTTCTATAGGAAACAGCCTTCCAGGTACCTATCGAAATATGAAATATGTTGGAAATTCTAACTTATAAGAATGAAGTATTTTATGTTTTAAAATAAATTGGGTGTAGACAACGTTTTTTCTCATATTTTTATGAAATATATCTTAAAAAATTGTTAAACAAATTATCATTCATTTAATAAGTTTAAAATCTAAAATCAAATTAAGCGTTCTAAATTTTCCGCGTTAACGCCGACTTCTGTCATGGCGTCACTATGACGTCATGGCAGAAGATTTGACTAACTTATTCGAGTGAGGATCGGTCCAAATCTAACTGAAGATTCGTCAAGCGAATAGATTAGTCAGACGGATATACACCATTAAGGATTGCCTTAATAACTTATTTCAAAAATATGGTTATATATGTTAACAATGTTTTATTACCCTTTGAAATAGGGTCTCACTCATAGTCATAGTCTCAATCGTATTATAGTATGAGCACTCCACTATGATCCGATTATACGATTTTAAGGGTATCAATAGCATTTTCTTATAAATGGAACTGGATAGCCGTAAATTTACATTGAAAGAGCCACAGGTTGATATGCTGTCACTAGTAAATATCGAATAACAATACCACCAATAAGGGACCAATTATAAGAGGCCAGAAGCCAGGCCAGTCCAATGAAATATAATGATGATCTCTAATGACTACATTAGCTTGTCTGGTGGTCTCGTGTAAATGTATCATAACTCTAAAACAGGAAATTTATACTGAATAGACTAAATATATTAAACAACAACTCCATACCTCTATAACTGCAGCTGACTCTGCAGAGAAATAATTCTCAAAGAGATTTATATTTATTGTCGCTGACATAAGAACAAGTTTAATATCGCTTCTGCTATGTATCAGACATTTAAGTACGCCAAGAAGAAAATCCCCCATCAAATGCCTCTCATGGATCTCATCCAGAATAATGACATCATAGTTTGGCAAATTTTCAGATGACATCTGTAATTTGATATGTACATTATAAAAATTAAATGTTGTTTTGAGCACATAAGAATTTCAATGGCCTTGCTTGAATAAGGAATAACCCTTTAACAGTATTTTGAAATTAAACAGAATTCTTTATTAATAATAAGAAGAGGACAACTTAATTTTTAGTCAAATAAGGAATTACCTAGGTAATTATTTTTTTTAAACAATTATTATAATAATATTTTATAGATATTAGACTTTATTATTCTAACTACTAACAAAATAAATATTATATTATCTTAAAAATAATATTAGGTCCTTTACTCACCTGCCTCAATAATAAACCTTCAGTGATAAAGCAAATTTTGGTATCGGCCGTCTTGCTCTTTTCAAACCTAATTTGATATCCAACTTTGGATTCAAATTGTGTAAGCATTTCATAAGCAACTCGTTTTGACAAAGACACACATGCAATGCGCCTGGGTTGTGTACAAGCTGTAAAATATATTTTTTTACACATTTTACAAACATATTTACGATATTTTAAGAATTGAAATGTATAAAAGACATTAAAGGTGAGGCGAATCGAAACGCGACGATCGTCGCATCTTAAAAGCGACTTCATTATTCAAGAATTGCTTTTGAAGCCGGGCGGTTCCTTCGCTACTTTTTAAAGTTCAATGCGTTTCTATTTGTTTTATATGATTTATTTCATGATTTTAGTGATATTTAATTTTTTGTTGAACAGAAATTTCACTATAATACGGTATCTTTTGTTATGTTATGTCGCTGATATAAACATGTCGCCTAAATATTTTGGTGATATTTGGTGAAAGGCATATTTTGTTATAAAAGCAAAACTACTAATACAATTTCGATAAAATTTATGTGAGTCCTCATCAGGCCCATAAGCTGTCTAATAAAAAACAAATCATTAAAATTTTCATAAACATGAAAGTTATCTGCAGACAAAAAAAACTACAACAAATTTATTGAGAAAATTTCAGGACATGAACATTTAATTAATTTGACTTTGAAAAACCTTGTATGAAGTATCAAGTTACACTCAAACTGCCAAGTGGCTAGATCGAATTTCCCGAGTTGCATTCAAATCACCTACTGGAGACTTAACAGGACTTTCTAAGACAGGGACCGGCAACAGGCGGACCGCAATCTGTGTCCGGACTGTGGAGGGAGCTGTGAATGTTGTTAAATGTACTAGCATATTTTATTTTACGTAAGTGGATGTGCAACGGCATATCTTGTTGACAGCAATTAGTTATTAATATTTATTTATGTGGTTTTTAGAAAGACCCTCCTCCCTCTTTGTTAGAAGAAAATTACATATGGTTGACATAAGTCTTTTCAGACGCTCTTAAAAAAAAATTGAATAGATCTTCAGACCTCTTACAAATTAACTTACTCTGATATAAATTTTCAAGCACTTTTAAACTTTTGCTACAAGTGCATCTTTCCGTGAATTCATGAGGCATCCTTTAAGACATTAAATATAATAATAATATTTACCAATATTTTGATAGCCAGCCTCATGTAGATATTGCGGAACTTGTGTGGACTTGCCGCAGCCAGTGTCACCAGCTACAATAATTACTTTTTTTTCTTGGACAGCTGATACTATTTCGGTCCTGAAACATAATATTTTCTATAGAGATATCTGTTCTAAAAATCTGCTTTCAATGTTGTTGGAATAGTTGTATGATATTTTTTACATTTTTTTAATGTTTCATTAAAAAATATCCAAAGAACCATAGCACACCTGTTTCTAATTATATTGGGTGCTTACCACACACAGTTACCCATAGTTTAATACAAAATGTTTATTATATTTAATACAAAAGATTGGTGAAATAAGTGGTCCTAGTTAACTTTTGTATAATAGGGGTGTAAACAACTTTTTATTTATTTAAAAAAATATCATTCATTATAATGGGTGACTCCATAATTTAATACAAAATGTTTATTATATTTAATACAAAGTATTGGTGAAATAAGTGGTGTCGATATGACCTCATGGTCCTCTGAAATAAGTTGAATTATCTAAGATCTTAAATGAGTAAGGGGAACATGACATCATGTGCTGCTTGCAGTCAAGTGACAATGAGTATAAAATATTTGCTTTTTCATAATAAATTTAAGCAATATTATAAATATAATAAGGATAAAAATGTGATAATCGGTAATAGTATATTAAACTCTACAGAAAAATAAAAACTGTCTACACCCATATCAAAAATATATGACACAGCATTTAATGGCAGACTTATTGCCATAGAGGAATTCTCTCAGTAACAGTAGGCACTTAAGTCTAAAAAAGTATAAAGGCATCAACAGAACATACATGAAAGCATTACTATATACTTAAACATTTTATTACATGCAATACAAAAGAAAATATATAAACAAATTATATGATATACAAAGCATACAAATCATATTGTCAGATTATGGGATGGAAATAAAGCAGTGTCAGTTTATAAAATGAAAAAATGGTTACAAGCTGCTTACTTAAATGTAAGCTTGTTTGGTGCATTACGGACATCTAAGGGCATTCTATAGTCTGATGGCAGTCAGAGTAAAGGAGCTAGATATGTAGTAAGAATTGTAAGAAGGTATTTGGAGGACCAGATTACCACTATAGTGAATATTTTTCTGGTTGGATGCCCCAAGGAAGAAAAAATCTGAATTACAAATGGTCTAAACTAAAAACAATTAATGCACAACACTTTCCATACTCATACCTGTATTTAGCCACAGGCAAATCTTGTTGGGCTTGCCTTAGCTTCTTTAATTTATCAAATTTTTCTTTATTCTTAAAGTCTACATACGTCGATACAATTTTTAAAAATGATTCAAATAAATTTTTGTCCATCCTTTGTTTGTGTCTTTCATCAGAATATGTGTCAACATATTTTATTTGAGTGTTAAAATTAATACAATGAAATTTTGAAAATTGGATTGGTACATCAATATCGTTGAGTTCATGACTGCTCAATGAATCTTGAATAAGTGGTTTACCAGCTTTTTTCAACATAGCTTCATACTTGGCTGCAAACACCCAAAAATCTTCAAGATTATTAACTACAGTATTACTTTCGTTACTGTACATAAATATTTTATTTAACTCTTTTTTACAATCTAAAAAGCTAAACTCTGATCTCAGTTCTTTTGAGGATGAAGAACTTGGATTTAAACATACTTTTCTTGATCTATCTTTTTCCCTAGACTGTGATCTTTTGCGTTTGTGCAAACGGCTGTTGTAAGGACTTGGGCTTCTACCCATCTTAAAAATACTATTACTATCAACTTTCCTTACTCATTATAAATATCAATTTATGTAAATAATAAATCGATCCTGATTCGAAATTTTTTATTTATTTACATTGACACTGACAGTGACAGTAAGGAAACAATGAGGGAGTATTTTAATAATAAAAATTATTTCTTGAAATCAAACTAGATGTCACTTGCGATGTTTGGATATTGTCTATGATATTCATTCAAATTTTGTTTCTGACGTAATAAAAGTAAATTGAGTATTGAATATTAATAAATATGATACTTTTTCGTGTTCCTTATAATATCTACCTTTAAAATTAATTTTACATTATTTGAATCGAAAGTTTAAGTTGCTTATTATGTTACGTGTAAAGGAACGATGTTTGGTTTAAATGTCAACATTAGTGATGAGTATATGTCAACTTATTGGTTGCTTGTAACTGCAATAGACTCGGTTCATCCGAATTCAGGTTTGGAATCAAGAACAAAAAGCGGAGCACTGAATTCATCTTGTGTTTTTTATGTGCCATATTTCCACATGTGCCATTATGCATCCACACGTCGAATTATATCAATATAAATATCAAAATCAATTCAGTACTTGTAAAAGTCTACATAGCACTTGTAAAAGTCGAAAACTTTGCCAACGGATCACAAAACTAAGGCGAGAGATCTTGTACTGAGAAGAACCGGCAAAAAAACTCAGCGAGGGCTGCTTTTTCTCCCTGTTTTATTTAACATAGAGAAGCTTTATTCGAATGTGACTTAATTAGACTATGGAGTCACTTTTCATTATAATATCAGAAATCCTAGATGCTCAATGACAAATCAATATACAATATTCATAATAAAAGAAAATGGACAAAATTAGGTGAACCAGTGCAGACTCACCACTGGCACAAGTTGATGAGTTTGACTCATGAGTCAGCCATCGCTACGCTCATCTATATTTGAGGGAACGTAACGATATGGTTATATAAATATCATGCAATCTGAAGTTGACATCAAAAACATCATGTTGTCTTTTTTTAACTAATAAGAAGTTTCTTTAGTAAACAAAGATAACACTAGTGTGACAGTTCAAAATTTTTTACGTGACGTCATGAGATATAGCTATCGTACCACCTGTCAGCCATTTGCAAATTTGCTTTGCGTATTCTCGGAAGTAGTTCAGCTGTCAGTGTTATAAGTTTTGTGGTTATTTTCATTTATAACTTTAATTTATATAACTTTCATGGCAGAAAATTGTAAATTATTTATGCAAAACAATGCCTAGGTGCTGTATAATTGGTTGTGCGTCATCAATATCCCGCAAACCGAGCAATATTACGTTTCACCGGTAAGTTAAACACTTTCTTGGAATAACAGTATTTAAAACGTAAGTAAGTTATTCTGAAAATGATTGCGTGTATAAATCGATACATATCGTATTTTGGCGTGTTCTATTTATGCTATATTGCTCTTTTCGTTTATATTTTTATAATATTTCGGTCCGTAAATAATATTGTTTACATGGCTAGTGTTGTTACTTTAACATATGGTTTATATCGATAATTTTAATATTTAAAAATATATTAATTATTTTAGATTACCAAAAGATGAAACAAAAGAGGAAAATGGCCGAGTTACATAGAAGCAGAAAATATTAAATGTAATGAAAAAGTTACTTTTATCTGCTCACTTCATTTTAGGGAAAGTTGTTTGAATCGAACTTTAAATATAATAAAATTACGAGATGATGCATTGCCAATCAAATACTCTGGTAAGAATTTTTGACAATTGCTTTTAACTTATTTAAAAAAAAATGTCTATTACACTTAGTTAATTTTCATTTGATTTTACTGATTTATTTATTTAGTTTTTTATATAGTCATTTTGTTATTCTATAAATGTACCTTATTTTTAGTCTTGCGGTCATATGACGACTATTTTAATTGAAAAAAATCAGAATGCAATATATAATAATATTAAAATATAAAATTCTGATCATAATATACTCCCAGTAAAATATACAATAAAATGAGTTAAATAATTTTAATAAAAATTAAAATATGCACACTTATCAAATTAAAGGCATAGTTAAAGGTTTTCTTTGCTGTTCAATAGTATAATCTTAATACCCAAATAATTATTTTGCGGCGTGGATGTTTATTTTGCTGATGCATCATAAAATACGCTACCTTTTTGAATTTAAATTGCTGACCGTTATCATGATTGTTCACAGAACATGAATTGCAGACTGTTTTAGTGCTGAGAAAATATTTGTATGCTTGCCTATTGATTAATCGGCTGTTTTCTTCTTGCTAACCAAATTTTTAAATAAAATGCCAATTGTTACTTCTTTAATAATGTTACTGTTATGCCAATTGTTACTTATTCATCACCAACTTTGTTTTCTTTATTTTCTCTTGTTTATTCATCAAAGTTTACAGTATTTTTATGTTCTTTTACCAATAATATAATACAAAGATTATGTAGGTGTTTCAAGTTTTCTATGTTTACTACTAAACAAGATGTTCTGAACTAAAATTGTGACACAGTACGCACGGTATCTCACTTAATGAGGAGGAAGCGAAATTTATTCAGTCAAAACAATTTATTGAATAAATTTATAGACAAGTTGGCTTACTAGTTACAAGCATATAAGAAAGTCGAAACTCTGTGCTTATAGTTCAGCAATCTATTACGGGAAACCTTGTACCGAGAAAAGAAGAAACTGTAAGAAAGGAACCGGTAAGAAACTGCAAGGGCTGCTTTTGCACCCTGTTTAATTTCGTACTGAAAAATAAAAAATGACTTCATTGGACCAAAATGTCACTTTCCACCAAAACAATAAAAAATATATAACAGACAAAAAAAGCATAATAATTCATTCGTCAATCGACTCATTAAAAGCTTATTATAGTTACCGTGGTAGTTATCTTGGACAGTATTCACACTTCCCGTGGATGCAAAATTAAACTTATGTTAAAAAAACTATTTAATTATAATTGCAAAATGTCAACTTGACAATATATATGGAAATAATTATAAAACACGATTGATATTATTGTAAAACTTTTAAGATATATATTTTGGTACTATAGTTCTTAAAACTATGTAAAATTGGCTATATTAGAGGAAAAAGAAACATATTTATCGAGGTACAATCATATTATAAAATTATATTATTAAATAATATAAATGTGAAAGTTTGTGAGGATGGATGTTGGTTACTCTCATGTAAAAACTACTGAACGGATTTTGATGAAATTTGGAATACGAATAATCTTTTACCCGTGGGAAGCGCCATCATACGCTGGTAACATATGTTATATTTACTATAGTGACGCAACGGAGTCGCAAGAACAAAGAACGCAAGAAATTTTAGATGTCCAACAAAATACGAGCAAAAGATTGCTTAATGATTTATAAATAATTGATAAATTCACGCCACTTTTAAAAAAAATATTATTTTCTTGATACTGGCGTGAATTTTTCAATTTAATTAATAATAATCATAAATAGGATTGGTACGTAAGTGTGAAATGAATAGAAGTGTAATAGGTAATAGTTTAGCCATGCCCCTAACAATGAAAATTATATTATATTATTTAATAAGTAGTAGTATTGTAGCAGTTTCACGAAATACTAACTTTTATTTAATATGACTTCAATGTCGATACAAATATCGATATCTTGGGTCACGCCCTATGACAATCCGCCATCGAAGAATTTGCATTTGAAGTTTAGGCATATACGCTTTTTTCGTAGGTATGGCCGGTCCTCTTCTTTTACCTGACGCACACGATACCACCATAGAGTTTTTTAAGAGAGCATGACTACTCTAGGTACTTAATAAGTATTATATATCATTATAACTGATTTCTAGAGTAGGTTGAGGTTGAGCAGAGAGTCAGGGCGTTTGTGCACTACACTGAGTTTTCAGGTCCGGCGGTCCGATTTTTTCGGGTCCAGAATGACATGAAAAACGCACGCGTTAACTCTATTCCGGACCGGAAGACCGGTTAATGCTGGGTTACTTTCTCTATTCCGAACCGGAAGATCGGTCTGGAATCGAGAAAGTAAAATTCCACGACAGTGAAATTCCTGACAGTGCACAGGCTAGCATTACCAACCTACATATGGCCTGACATATCGGACCGGAAAAAATTGGACTGCCGGTCCTGAAAATGGAGTGTATTCACTCATACATTATACCGGTTTCTTGATGACAATAACAATAACTTAAGTCGTTTGCCGTCCATTTGGTAGTGCTAAAGTACAGGTATTCATAATGGTTGACACCAATCCACCTAGCAATTCGTACTGGGCCCGTGCGTTGGGCCCAAAGTGGATTAGTTGTGCTAAACTATAAGTACAAATATTATATTTATTCTATTTCGCATTTAAAATGATATACTGAAAAATATTCTTAATGAAAAATGCTTAAAATACACTTGGATGAAGAACAAAGGTACCATTCTTAATTTATGAAACTAATCCACCCAGTATCCCGTACTGGGTCCGCGTGTAATAACCAGAGGTCGGAATTAGGTAGAGTTATTTATGTACTTGCATCGAAATGTTGATATTAATGTGGACCTTCGTGGCAACATCGCGCGTATTGGTATTTTGCAACTTTGGACAGCCGATGTCATTGATGTAAGTTTGGCAACGTCGTGCGTGCAGTAGTTTAAATTGTGTAAAAGTAAATAACTTTTTATTTAAAAAATCACGGGATTTTTTCTGCTCTTTAAAATTAATCTCGGGATTTGAGGCATATCCACTTTATTCTTTCGCTGTATGAAATCAGTGTAAGTACATGAATAACTCTACCTAATTATGACCACTGGTAATAACCAAAGCGGATTGGTTGTTTAAAGCATAGGTAAGAATACCTATGCTTTATAAAATTAATCCACCCAGCATTACGTATAAGGCCCGTGTGTAGGATCCAAAGCAGTTTGGTGGTACACAAGTATACTAAATGAATGAAACCAATCTATCCATTAATCCCTATTGGGCCCACTTTGTCGACCTAAATCACCCCGTCAACAAAAAAATAATAATTTAGCACCCATCCGATTACCGGCCTTTGCGATCGTAGCTAAACCTCTTAAATTCACTAACACCTACACTTTTCACCTGTTGATATAAAAGGGATACATTCATATTTTTTTGCCTTATAATACATATGTCGTAGCCAACTAGTTACAATTGCAAGCCTAGTTTTCTAATGGAATTTCTAGGACAACAAGACGGCTGATTTAAAAGCCGCCAAAATGTTAATTTAGTATTAATAACTGTTAAAAAGAACCTCGAAATTTAAGACAATCCTTACGCACGCTACGCTTTGCGATCTTCTTAAATTTTTAACCTATCACATGACCTACGCGACCAAAGTAACTTGTTTTTTATGTTGTTATTAACTATTATAGAACCGAAATTCGAAATCATACGAGTAATAAACATACTAAAACAATCACAGTCAAATACATTGCTTACTCCCATTTTCGATAAATGTTACAGTTAATTAGTTTAGACAGTTCATTATTTAATGAACAATTATCATTTCGTGATCACTATGCTTATATGATACAAAAGGCGGAACGAATGCTTGGTTTCATTTGTCGAACATCTAAAGCTTTTAAGAAATCTAAAAGTGTCTTACTTTTGTACTATAGCTTGGTTAGGAGCATTTTAGAGTATGGAGCTGTCATCTGGGCGCCTTTCTACTCGATTCATTCTGATCGCATTGAGAAAATTCAGAATAAATGCTTAAAAATTTTATGTTACCGTACAGGATATGGTCGGATTTTGTCATCGTATAGTGAAAGATTGTCTAGATTTAGTGTACAAAGGCTTGACGTGAGACGGAAATATATGGATTTAGTCTACCTACATAAGATTATCCATTCGCGAGTTGATTCTCCGGAATTACTATCTCTGATCAACTTCAACACGCGTTTCAGAGTTCGCCATCCAAACATCTTGCTGCACGTTTACAGAAATAACACGTCCTACTATAACCCAATTATCCGTATGTGTCGTCTATATAATGATCTAGCGGGGAAACAGGAAAGCTTGGACATTATGAATGATCGTCTTGGTCTGTTTAAGCGATGTATTACCGATGTGCTTATTGAATCGTGTTGAATGTGTAATTATTGGTTATTTTATTAATTTCGATGTTGTAGTCACTGATAAGGTACAATTTTGGGATTGATTTGTAAATTTATTGTAATTAGTTTTAATGTAATCTAATTTTATTCTTTATTTTATGCATGAAAAATATAATATACTATTATGCAACCTTTATAATTGTCATGATAAGGCCACGAGGATTTGGTTTACAATCTAGTTTATAAATTACTTGAATTGCTGTAAATTAAACTCAATTTGATTGTGAACTTCCATATTGTAGAACGTTGCTATCAGCTACTTGGCTGGTCGAACTTAAGCCTGTTAATTGAATTGTGCCATTCAATTAGAGGCTTAGCCGTCCAATCGTCGTCTGATTACACTACTTGGCTACGACATATACCTATAGTATTATAATGCTTTCATATTGAGTACACGTGCATATAGATTTCATAATTGATATCTCCTAGTGTGCAATTTCATGAGTAACTTGCGATTCTTCATATATTTTACTCGATATAGAATTACATTGCACCGAGCCATGTGTAAAGAACCTTAGGCTCTCTATTTGTGAATTCGACATGTTAAATATTTTTTGATCAAATACTAGTCAGAAGTACTCAAGAGTATGGCGTGCGCTGAGTGAGTGTTATAAAGTGACGTCACAGCAACGAGCTTAAAAATTTAATATCTTGAAAACTATAAATTGTATGAAAAAATAATTTTAACTTATTTTATTTATTTTTAATAGAATATAGCTACTATAACGTAAAAAAAATGGATGACAATTATGTTTCACCATTATAGTATTGTGTATTAAGATGTCTGCAATAAATAACATTTTTATTTCATAATAATTTATGACTATGCATAGATAAAATTTAATAATTTTACAATAAAATAGAAAAACGTTTTGTAGTGGCTGTATATGCATATTCCTCGATAAAAATAAAACAAAACAATTTATAAAATACTATACTACTACTGCCCTCTATGCCATAGAGCAGAAATCATTACAATTTCCGCCATTGCGTTCCGCCATTTTGCTTGGTAGTGCAGTGAACGTAAAATCAATCCTATGTATTTTATCGGGGATATAATTGTTATTTAGTTAAAAATTAGTGTTTCCATACACTAATGGCTTGCTTAAATACACTTAAGTTAGAAATTAAGACCTTAGAACAAGTTTTTCCAAAAAATCATGAACGGTTTCAGATAATGTCTGCTAGTGTCGACGAACTGACCTGCAGATTCGTTGGCAGAAGTGGAAAGAAATATGAAATACATGCAAATATTACCGTAAGTAACTTAAACTTTTCATTTATTTACGATTCAAGTTAAATTTTTGGGTAAGGGCAAGTTTATTGATTATCCCTAAAGGTGGGACAAAGGGTCGTTGTTTATGAGGGCAGGGCTGTCAATAAAGAGGTTTACGGAAGTAAATCCAGCTTTACCTGTTTTGAACATAATTTTTTGAATTTCGGTACAATGCAAATAGTGTAACACAACAATGCATGTGCTCATTCAATTTACGCCTATGTTCAGTCTTTCGAAAGTGCACGTCAATAATAACCATCTGTTATCATTATTGGTTTTTCGCATACGGGTCGCAAGCGAGTTCTATCGATCATTTCTCAATTCCAGTAATGTTGAATCTATTCTATCTATACATTCGTTGTATTATAGCTACGGTTTTTAGAGTGTAACATTATTTTGTTTGGATAACGGTATATGATCGCGTTTTTGGGACAAAGAAACTTAGTCATCCTCACAGTATGTACCTACCTAGTTTTTTGGAGAAGTAATTTTATTGGTCTCCCCTAGCATTATAGTTTTACTTTGCTAAACTAATAATATAATTTGCTCTCAAAATAATGTAAATTGTAAACAATTCTGTAGCAATGTAACCTGATGTGATAGCTTTGTAAACAATAATATTCTTGTTTACATTTTCTATAGTATTGTGGAAGTTGTGGTATATGGTTTCTTTTGAATTATGATACTTGATTATTATTTTTTTCATTATAATTATACATATTAATAATTTAATTAATGTTTGGTTATATGTTATTTCTAAAATCAGCAGTTTTGAAAGCAATGATTTGATATTAATATCTGTAATTGTGTTTACATTATAAATATGGTATCATTAAGGCAATTATCACTTGTATTTAAGAAAGTAAACAAATATAAAACTTTATTTGCATACTAGTTTCTGCCTGTGATTATATGGAATGAACTTTGAATTTGTAATCTTTATGGAATATGCTCATAAGGAATTAATTCAAAGTTCCGATGATATTCTACTTGTGTATTAAATTTCATCCTGTGTGTGAGTTGGTAATAATTATTCATAATTCACATTAATTATATTACCTAGTTGTATAAAACATGCAATACATTAACATGTATATTTCAAAGCTGTTTGAGATATTTAACTTGTGACTTCAAATATATTCAGTTGTATTATTAAAATATTCTTTATCAAATGACTGCAATGAAAGCACTTCTGAATTGTAAGTGATTTTCTGTTTAGAATTTTCTGACTTATAAAGAATGGGTGTAAGAAACCTAATTTTATAAAACATTTAGGTTGGTAAATTGTATATTACCTAATAATATACATATGTATATTACCTAATAATATGTGTATATTACCTATATACATTATTACTAATAATAAAAGCATACATTATACATTCAAATGTACATATATTAAATTAGAAAGGATTCAATTATTTGTTAACAACATAAAGGTTGCTGCAAATGTGATTGAAGATATGTCAAACATCTCACAAGGTAGTAGATCAACCATGGAGTGAGCAATATTGAATGTTAGATCATATATTTGTCAATTCTTATGTTCCATGACTAATAAGAAGCGACCCATCTTACACCAGATATGCATCAACCCCATTAGTATAATATCACAATTGTCAATATAATATGCAAATTGATGAAACACATTTAAATGTACCAATCCTGTTTTCTAAGATGTCACCACTATTCAGTGCTTCTTTTGGTCATGGAAAAGAAAATGGACACACCACTACATTTAATAAACAGTAAAAATAATTTCAAAATATTACAACTTATCTACTATTTGCATATTTACTATTTTGTACTATAATTTATATACCTATAATTTTTTTATTAATTCATTTAATATTCGCTAGTATACTTTAAATTGTTGAAAACATTCATTTCAGCCTGGATATAACTTTACTAAATGTAATTTTTAATCAAGACTATTTTTCATCCATATATGTTTGCTCATACTTGTACATCTTTTGCCTGACATTTTGTCAATTTCATTGTTTGGATTGCACCCGTAATGTAATTGAATTGTTGCAGGAAACATACCCTAACACACCACCTGTGTGGTTCGCTGACAGTGAAGATCCTATTGTGACAAATGCTGTACAAATTCTCACTAATACACAAGGCAGAGACAATCATGTCATTAATCAGGTAAGAATTTTACTGAAACACACAGAATTCAGACAGAGATAGATGCTGTTTATGATATAATTGTTTAATGGTACATATCTAGTTTTTTATTTAACTAAATAGAAATCTAAATCAGGAAATTCTAAAATCTTTCCATTCACATTCACTAAGATGTCTGTTTACCATAACATCTCTAACCATTTTTCATGGATTATTCTGTCCATTAGAAAAAAATCTTGTGTAAAGGGTTTGGTTGTTCTAGAATTTATCAGGTGTATACTCGTAGCCATCATCCTTTGTCTAAATTTTAATGCATCTTTGAATATTATGATTACATTTAATTCATTTTATTGAGATATTCAAGGCTGTATGTAATGTATGTATTAACTAAATATGTTTAATGAAAAGGAAATTTTGCAAAACTGAATCAATTTCCTTTTATGTTAAGTATTAAACTAAGGAAGGATCTAATTAAATAGATTCAAAAAGTCATGTTACCTTACCTCTTCTTTAAGGTTGGTATATTGCTGAGAGAGCTATGCAAATTACATGGTGTACCAGAACCGCCAGATTTAGATTCTCTGGCGTTACCAGTCCACCCTGCTCCACAACAAAGGTCAGTCAGCAGTCCTACACAATGTTGATTATAATAAATTTAAGAAGGCGCACATACCTAAAATTACTCTATCAAGATTTTTTTTTACAAACAAATGATGTCCTACTTCTTAGGGTTCTTTCACAGTCAAATCATAAATTTATAAAATTTTCTCTATATACTTATATAAAAAACAACAGGCACCCTTAAAATTCATTACATTTTGTTTTGTTTTAATTGATTCTTGTTTATAAGAAAAATTTATAAATATGACACTTTTTAGCAGAGGAAATTTTGCATCGCTGTTACAATAGTCATAACAGTTTGTGAGTAATTATTTTAAAACTCTTCGCCTTGCCATTCAACATCCTCTGTCAATTGATAAATTTTTGAAAACATTATAAGATGTTATTGATTGATTATTTCATGAATATATTAATTATAACAAAAAACAAATCCACTATCGGATATATTAAAATGTCTATTGTACTAAAACCAATCCTATTTTATTCTCATAACAATATATTGTGATGATACTTTTGTAGGCTGTCTTGTGACTAGTAATTTATATGGTACTTTGTATTTATCTAATTAGATAAGGGTGTCATTAAACTTGATTCAACATGAGCAACTTATTCTTGTGAGATGTTGAAGTGATGTTCATTGTAATATTTAATAGCTTTTGAATGAGCTTCATTTTATTTTTAAATTATAATTGCTCTTTGTTCACGATTTCCTGTAACATTATCTATTTAGGAGCTATTGTATATCAGTTACAGACCCTACTTTGATTACATACTTGTTAATGATAATTTAATCTGTAGCCATATCAAGTTAGGAAAGAATAGGAGTTATGATAAAAACAAAAAAAAAATGGTGTTTTTATTTAAATCAACAATATAAAAATCAGATCAATTTTTTTGTTACATAAAATATTGTCGAGGAGAGTTTTGATTATAACCATATTTTATGAAGTACTTTACTTTATGAAGTAGTTTTTATAAACACAAAACATATCTGGCAACAAATTCACATGTACCAGTTTATACAATGGTATTATATTACACAATGATCTAATGTGTTTGTCACTTTTGCCATCCAGCCAGTGATGGTTACAGAATTAATTAGTTACAAACTTAGTTAGAAAGAATGTAACAGAGTATATTATAAAAAAAAAATCATATGTCAATAGACATATGCAGTTGACCCCTATCATGGCGACCTCCATGGCCAATTGGCTCCGGTCGGTATCAAGGTGTAGCTATTTCTGAGTTAGTGGGTTTCATTTCAATAGAGAATGAACTTTTGAAATAGGTCTGGGTGTTCTGCCTTCCCGAGCCTAAACCGCAGTAACGACAAAATTTGCGTTTATGAGTTATTCATATCGTCTGAAATCCCAATTCAAACTCTACGAGCCTAATTTATTCATATTTTTTTCTACAACCAGTTATAGTTTTATTTTTTGTTTAATTTTATTAATTTATCTCAAAATACGCTAAGATTAATATGCAGTAATAATTTTGATCTACTTACTGCATTTTAGTTAGTGAATACAATTCCAAAACTGTTGAATATGCAGAAATAGCTCACTTTACTGCATTTTAAATAGTTTAAAAAGCGAATAAGCAAAAAAAAAAACTAGATGCAGTAATAGGGGTTAAAACATTGTAATGGCTATAATTAATTTATTAAACACGTTTTCAACCTGAAATTTGTGAATTTTTTTAGTATTCTAACTCTTCTTACACTTTGCATTCAAAATTTGATCATAAACCTCATTTGTTCATAAAGATACATGAACATTTAAAGTTTACGCGCGTTTTTCTCAGTATCTTGTTTTTACTATTACTGCAGTTTAGCCTCGGGACGTTTGGGTTTCAGTTTTATTTTGCTTTAGCTACTTTGAATATGTGTTACGTATGTTGCCTAATTTTTGTTTATATTTTGTTGTTTTAATTTTATAGAGTGCCCAGTGTGACGTCAAATGGGGCAGAATCAGGCACAGAAGAGGATGAAGAAATGGCTGCGGAAGAAGATGAATCAGAAGGGGAAGACGATTTGCCTCTCGAAATGGTCGACGACGCTGGGCGCAGCAATAAGGTTGGTTTTTATTTACAAGAAGTGTTTATTCAAATAAAAATGTTTTCATTCCCTGGTATTTTGAAATTTCGAATCGATAAGTGAGCTCCTTCCTCTCAAGTTGATGCTTATATGTGATGTGTTTATTTATAAGTCTACTCTAGGGACTATTTATAAGTCTACTATGTATAAGAGCTTACTTTCATCGATTACGCTTCGCAATAAATGGTGCGTAAACAACATCACATTCATTGATCAGATCAAAGTAGCTGAGGGCGTCGCATTATGCAGTACCTAAAACAACGAAGCGACCGCAACACCCAGACTCGAGAAAATGTAGAAATAATAATATTCTACATTCACTCGGCTGGTAATATACTGAGTGCTAACCACTTGTTCATGTAGGTCATTGATTGAAAAGTGCTTTCAATAATTTTAATAAAATATATTATTGATCAATTTCGCGTTCACAATGCTATACTGGAAAATGTTCTTAATACAATATGCTTAATTATTTTGATTTAATTTTTAGGATGATATGGAAACAGAGCATTTGGCGACGTTAGAACGACTTCGACAGAATCAACGCGCTGATTACCTGTCTGGCAGCGTCTCTGGTAGCCTGCAGGCTACTGACCGTCTCATGAAGGAGCTTCGCGATATATACCGCAGCCATTCCTTCAAAAACAACATGTATTCCATTGGTATGTACATATATTTCTCTCTGTTGTTCTCTCTGTATTTTTTCTTTCCTAAAATCCTTAAATGTTAATTTTGGAATTTGGGAACATATGGTTAGTGTTAATTGCTTCTTCTTCTGTCAATTATAATAACAATCCAATTAGTAACAAACATACAATAACGAACCTTATTTATGTGTTACTAGAGGTTTTTTGTGTTCTCATTATTAAATATTGCACCAAATTGATTTTTCTGTATTGAATTGATGAAAATATAGTTTTGCACATTGAAAATTTCCAATAGAATTTGTCCTGTTTGTCTAACAAGGTCTAATAATGTTCGTTCTAAAATTAATGTTGTCAACCGCATATGATATAGCTTCCCATTGGTGAAATAATTTTTCAGTCTCGTAATTGATTGGAGAAATGTAGAATTTTTCTTAATGGTCTTGCATTGTTATCATCTTTAAAGGGCTTATCCAATATTTTTAATTGTAGGTACATATCTAATCATTTATCTGCTCCATATAGATATATATTGTTTCTGGTCTTTCAGATGTCCGTCCACCATAATACAAGTGCTTTTATTACTTAATTTTTTAATTAATTTGATGAAACATACTATCTTAATTATGCCAAAGTATATGACACTTGTGGTTCGGAGTAGCTCGATGGCATAGTGGAAAAACGCCACATTGTTATTAAGCAACTTTTGCAAGGGTCGGTCACGGGACCGGTGACCGAAAAATTATTATCTAGAGCTACTCCGTGCTTCGCAAGGCACGTTAAGCCGTTGGTCCTGGCTGTATTTTCCATAAGGATGGTCTGCGCCTCTGCAGTGGAGACGTAAAAGGACTGATAATACGGCACATATAATCAACAAGATGAATATATTTACGGTATCTTAATGTTCACCTTCCACAGAGCTAATAAATGACTCGTTATATGAGTGGAACATCAGACTTCGATCAGTGGATCCCGACAGTCCCCTTCACAACGATCTCTTGCTTCTGAAAGAGCGAGAGGGTAAAGATTCCATACTGCTCAACATTATGTTCAAAGAGACTTATCCGTTCGAGCCTCCTTTCGTTCGCGTCGTTTACCCTATCATATCAGGTGAGTGTTTATTGTTCTATCATTTATTATTATGTTATCATGGTAAATATAATACATATTGTTTGATAAGACATTGCATCAATCCTATTTATCAGGAGCCAAAGTAAATTGAGGTTTTATTAGTAATGTTAAAAGGTTTTATTATTGGGTTTTGCATTTGTGTAGAACAGTTTGACGGCAGAGATAGAAGTAAACATTTTGTATAGTGTTGAGACAAACACTATGTTTGAACTTACTTATTAATTACTTTTAAAATTGCTACTGAAATGTATTATTTATTCCAACCTTTTACTAATTAACTTATAAAGCATGCAAAAGTCTTTTAGAAACTAAATATAAACACCTAAAATAAAACAAAACCTAGCAAAGTACATATATACGAGGGTGGATTTAAAAGTTCGCGGCCTCAGCAAGAAAACAATGTAAAAATAAGCAAAAGTAATTTTATTTTTCCACGCAATCTCCACTTAACTCTATGCACTTCTTCCATTTCATTTCCAACGCTTGTATGTCATAAAAAAAGTTTCTTCAAGGCCTTCAAAAAAGTCACCCATCGCAGCTTCGACCTCCTCATTTGATGAAATTTTTTGACCTCCAAGGTGTTTTTTTAGGTATGGGAATAAATGAAAGTCTGAAGGTGCCAAATCAGGGAAATAGGCGGGATCGGGCAGTAATTCAAAGCCACATTCACGAATTTGAGCCATAGATTCAACAGACGTGTGAACGCGTGCATTATCCTGATGGAACAACACTTTCTTGCTGAATAAATAATCCTGGCCTTTTCTCTTTGATTGTTTCGCGCAAGCGACGTAAGAGGGTGCCGTAATAAGCTGAGTTTATAGTTTCACCTTTTGCAAGGTAGTCCACCATGATGACACCCTTAGCATCCCAAAAAACTGACGCCATCACCTTGCCAGCTGACAAAATTGTTTTGGCTTTTTTTGGAGTCGGTTCATCACGTTTTTTCCACTGCTTGGATTGCTGTTTTGACTCTGGGGTGTAGTGGTGTACCCAAGTTTCATCCATTGTTACAAATCTGGATAAAAAATCTTATGGATCAGCCTCAAACATTTCCAAACAGTCGCGAGAAATGGTGAGGCGTATTCGTTTTTGTTCGACTGAAAGCAATCTGGGTTCCCACCGCGCAGAAACCTTAGAAAATCGAAGTTCATTGACTATGATGTTTTGTGTTCGTTTATACGAGATGCCAATAGTGTCTGCAATCTCCCTGATGGTCAATCTCCGATCTGTCAATATCAGATCACAGATTTTCCCGATGTTTTCTTCTGTCGTAAACGTCATAGGCCGGCCAGAGCGAGGGTCATCTTCAATAAAAGCTCACAAAATTCAGTCTAATTTAAATACAGTTAATGCTATTGCGATAGAATTTTACAATTTGACAACCAGAGAGTAAACTAATCGAATGAGGTCAGTTACATTAAAATAGTATTAGTGTTTATGTGTTAGGCTGCGAAATTTTTAACCCACCCTCGTATTTTACTTTGACTCCGTTTATTTGCTGAAATTATATATGGAATCCCAATTAATATGGACTATCTAGCCGTCATTTCGTCCGTCCGTCGTCCTCATTTTTGTGAGAAAAAGGGATCATAACAAAAAAACTTTTGTCAGGTCAAGCAATTGTTTAATATCAAAATCTATCTCAATCCCACTCAAAGGTATAGTGATTTGTGGAATTCTATAACATTTAACGTAAACGTATGATGATTTGAATCTTCTTTAACCCACATCCACCCACTGCTGAGTAAAGGTCTCCTCCATTCTGCGCCAATGATTGCGGTGATGGCCTTTTCTTCCCCGCCACTTTAGAGATATCTTTTGCCCATTTAGCTCGTTGCCGGCCGACATTTCTCTTACATCAAGATCAAGAATAGAATAAAAATTTACCTATACCCCTCAAAAGATTGTAGTTGGCATAATTCTTTATTTGACATTCCTCAACAGTTTTAAAAATATTAGACAATTCCAATACCGTCAAATTAACGATACCGTTCATTCAATATCATTAAAAAAATTTCGCTATCGCAATCTCTATCACATGTCAAATACTTGTAGCGTGAAGTTCGTGAATATCTTTCAAATGTCTAAAGGATTGTGGTATATTTTAAAGTTAGATTATTAGCCCCTTGGCTCACTTGAGCTCCTTAATTTCAATAAGTATCTGAATCAATCAGTTTTTTTTATTAATTAGTGATAACAACAGCTTTTACACTATATGTATTACAATCGTGTCTTATTTATACCTAGGCCACTTAAACACTTACATATATACCTATAGTTATCCACGATTACATTCAATTTTGGTCGTGAGCAAACAGTGGTATTGTGAGATCGTTTAAACCAGGGTTTGGAGTGATAATTATTATTTAATTTTTTTATTTGACTACCCAACGTCTGTTTACAATGATACATAATTTTGATAACATTCAATTTTTTTTTGGACTTATTGCAACAGACACTTGTAGGTTAGCTCCGCATGCATAATGAGCTTACAATATCTATCTATTTATTATCTTGATAAATAAACCTTGATAATTATAAAACAACACAAACTCTTTTGTTCTTTAGAACTTGTTTTTAAAGAGGAATCATCTTTGAACGACTATCAAATATGGTTTTTCTGATAGAGAAAATTATCCAAGATGGATCTACAAAAAAATCCCTTTTCATTTCAGTTTTTGTTCAATGTGATTTCACAGTTATTATTTTTGTTTCAATATTTTTTATAATTTAAAACAACAAAAAAGAAAGACATTTTTTTGCTGTAATTACGGATAATATTTATGATAATTATACAAAAACATAATTATCTTGATAATTACGAAGCCTGGTTTTGACCATTGTTTTTTTTATCAATGTACAGGCGGCTACGTGTTAGTAGGCGGTGCGATCTGCATGGAGCTACTCACAAAGCAGGGGTGGTCGTCCGCGTACACGGTGGAGGCTGTGATAATGCAGATTGCGGCTACACTGGTGAAGGGCAAAGCGCGCATACAGTTCGGCGCTACCAAGGTGGTCTCACAGTCGCAGTATTCGTTAGCGCGTGCGCAACAGAGCTTCAAGTGCCTCGTGCAGATACACGAGAAGAATGGTAAGATTTACCCCCTCTTTTATGTTCCCATTGCATGGACTCGGGCTTTGCTTATGAATGGTTATGGTGGCCATGACTCTTTATGCTGACGCAATTGAAGGGTATTAATCACTGTAAAATGCAGCCGGGAGGTACGGCTCAACGTGCCTCCTGGAGTAACTTCGAGATAATAATATTTTGGTCACAAAGTTGCTTAACAACTGATCGTGGATCGCGCCGTTTGTCCACTACGCCACTGAGCCAATAATTAAGATTACTATAAGGGGAAATTTGTAGTCAGTCGTAAAATTTTAATATAGTGATTGTCACTGTAAATTGTATTCACGAGTCTTTTAATCTTTTTTTGAACTTTCTAACAGAAAATAAATGTCTATAAAACTTTGCAACATATGATATACTAATGCCCTAATTGTTATATCTTGTTGATACAATTTGCACCTACAGTAGTAAAATTTATTAATAATTCTATCTAAATATGGAATTTCATTACTTGGCCTTGTCGAGTAATTACCAACCAATTAGTTATGCTCATCGATGGTAACCAAAGATTATAATACCTATTGTAAGGAAGCGGCAGTTATTGGTGTTTGATTGAACATTCAAGTGAAATAAACGCAGTTGAGATGGGATAAATATGTAGAATTAGCGGTGTAATGTTTTGCAAACTGCATTCACAGTAAAAATATAAGAAGAAAGTTGACCTTAAAGTTTATTCAGTTAAATTATCAGAAGTTGCTCCAGATAACGCACACCTAGATCTAATCTGAGACAACTCAAAAATATGAGTGAGTTTTGACTTAGTACAATATTTAAATACTCGGTGATCATACGCATCTATCCAACATAACAGATTCAATAAAGATTTGGGGATGAGCCGCTAGATAACTTTAGCTTTCTTTTGTTGAATCAACTGTGGTTGCGCTCCTGTCACGTAAACAAATGTTTTGTCAGAGCTCCACATTAGATTTTTGAGTTGTCTTAACTTAGATCTAGGTGTGCGAAATGACGAAACTGATGCAATGACGAAATGTGAGAGTTTGGTTAAACTTTAAGAATGCCAAGAAATTTATAAAGACTGTGTCTTATAACGCTCAATTTTGTTTATCTCAACGCAAGAGATATGACGTTAAATTGTAGATTATCACAAAGTAAATTTGTTCTTTTTTTTTACAAATTTTGATTATTAAACAATTTGTAGGTCTAGAATATTATCACCCTCTAGAATATTTGTTTTAATTAACGATCGTTTTTGTCGAGCTATAATACGGCAGAACAGCATTTGATCCTGGTCACATCCGAGGTCATTGACACCCACAAATATTCACTGGGCTCACAGGATTGGTTATAATTCTCAACTCTGGTTTTTTACACGGGTAAGACCTGTGATCCAATAGTAGAGAACATATATTTGTTGAATAAATTTTGTTGCTTTATATTATGGAAATATACTTCTAACCTTTGACCAGTCGCGGGTGGGGTGAGATAAAGAAAGATTTAACATTGTGATTGCAGAAATGTATCATATATTTTTGTTGTTTCCAGGTTGGTTCACACCTCCAAAAGAGGACGGCTAATGCATGCCGCACCGCTCTAACATTTAAGACTAACGTGACAGTCGACGACGCCCAAACGAATCACAATCAAAATCCGACAAGTGGCTCAAACAGATTGCCTGGTCTTAAAATAATATATATTATTCCACACAGTTCGTGAAACAGTTTTTATGTTAAGTATGACTGAATGGACTAGCGTGGTCGATATCTCGAGTATTGTATGTAACTTTAATTGTTAAGTGCTATTAAATGTTTTGATAAGTGCGGGCGTTTACGAGAGACTTTATAAGACTTATAGGAAATGTTTAAATGTGTAACGTTTTTTGTAATCATTAATTTCTCATTAAAAGGAATAAAGAAAAAGTTATCCACATGGTAGCCTTAGACGTTACTGGAGTGTGAAGTTGGAAAATTCTTTGCATTTCTTTTTAGTTATGGAAATAAAAAGAGAAAACCTGTGATTCTTATTTTGACGTCTTTCAATGTACCCTATTGTGGTCGGTGGCGTGTTATTGTATATGCAAACTAGGCACGTGCCTAAGGTCACGAAATTTAATGTATTGTCGGAATTATGCTAGGCATTAGTAAATATACTTATGATTTGTTCCTTAACTTTATAATTGTTTTCCCGCGACTTCGCCAGTATTTCCGAAGATTACACACCCTACAAACCAACAAACAAAGTTCTAAACTACCTCTAGAAATTGGTATAGACAAAAAATTGAGATTTTTAAATTATCATGTTTTCAGTGGTTTGTACTTTCTCTTATTTTCTTCAGTATCAACATCTGTAATAGTAGTTATAAAATACGTAGCTAGGTTTCGGATACTAGGGATGGGCGATTTTAGGCATATGCCTAGGTAACCTAATAGTAATCTGCCACCGATTGCGGTTTTCTTATTTTTGCCGTTGCGTAAAGCTTGCGTGGTGTAGATGTCTGAATGTGTTTTTAGAAAATCCATCTGCACTGTATGATTGGTCCTCAAAAGTTTTATCCTCTAAAATACAAAGATATATAGGTATTCGATAAGTAAGACTGAATACATAGGCGTATTCTTTATCAAACGAACACGGGGGCGTATAAATTGGATGAAAATTATGTAAATAAACAGCGAAATGTAACAGATTGCATGGTTTTATTTTATTAACATTTGAAATATTCTAGCGGTGTTTAAATATTCTAGTTGTACTGGTGATACATATTGTTATTGCGTGCAGGTAATTTTTATCATGAACTATGATTGCTATAAATAATGTGTTATTGAAATAAATTGAACATTTATAATCAAGAACAAAGAGTGTCTGAAAACATGATTGTACATACTAGACTGGAGTATGTAGTCTACTTTTTAGACCAATATTTTCCAACTTTTTCCTGATTAGCTTGACTTTTATATTGTGGGTGTACTAAAAATAAACCGAAATTAATTTAAAAATTAAACTAGTCAAAAATTCAATAGTAATGTACGTAAAAAAAAAACATATTTATTAAAATATTTAGAGTTGTATGCACCTATCACGACGATGGACAGCTCATCGTCCGCCGAATTTGAAGTTCTTTTATTAATGGCTTATTTGCGCATTTCGCACAATTCTGCCAATGTCAAGTGAATGAATTAATTATTCGCTAACTATATTTTGACTTCTGTTGACAAAAGGAGATCGAACAGCAATAAAGTATTTAAAAAAAGCACTTCCACTAAATAGCGATTAGCAAAAATTGATTTTTGCAGGAAACGAATGGACCATAGATAGTCATTTCCGTTCCTTTTAACTAACATTAGAAAATGGAAATTTACGTTGTTTATTGAGTTTTGAAAACTAATTTATTTTTATACATGAAAGAAAACCGGAAGGATTCTCGTGGAAAAGTCAATCAATTTTTTTTTAAATACTGCCTCATTGGCCGGATAGCCCTTTAATTGAATAGCGCCATTCAATCACCAGGCTGACTTTCGATAAACCCAGTAACTGAATGCAACGTTCTACAACACGGTTGAACAATGGAAAAAAAAAATTATAATCATCGTTACGTGACCGCAAACAGCGCGCGACGTAACGCCCCTTTTATAAAACTTTGAGAATTGAACCTTATGCTTAATAGAACGTCTTAAAGACGTCCTGAACAAGTGGTAGGGGAAAAAAATTTTTTGGACGATTCAAAAGTGCTTGTAATAGGCCTACTTGAATAAAGATATTTTCATTTCATTTTCATTTCAACGATATTAGTATCAGAAGGTCGTCATAGCGATGCCATGACTAAAGTTTAAAAAAATCTCATTAAAAGTTTAATTTTTAACAATGTCTACGACTAAAAGGACAAATACGATGAATGTAACAAAAACGATTATTTTCTGAAGAAAAATCGATTATTTATTAATCGATGATGCTACTATCTAATTAAATGGGTAGTCGCCCAATTGACCGGCCTTTTTACCAGTTTGCAGCTAATATAGACGACAAATCAAAATAAGAGTCAATGTATAGATCAGTGGTTCATAAAGACATAAATACTGTATCTATCAATATGCCTTGTGGTCATAAAAGTATAATTAAAAAGACAAATTAATTTTATTTATGGATATATATATAAAACTTATATAATACCTTATTTATCGAGACTTGGGTACAGCACATTAAACCATGTTCATGGATTTTTGTGGCAGAGAAAAAATTCAACAGTGCAGCAACTTACCTCCCCCCCCCCATTTTCGATCCGGGGCTGCCATGGCCATTTAAAATGACTAAAAAGTTATTAACCACTGGTGTAGATGTTCCGCGAACGATATATCGCCAGAGATACGATGCAAGGCCTTAGTTTTTACAATTTGGATTGTTTGTTGTATTTGTTGTTTTCCATCATGGCTTTGAGGTGAGTTACGTGAAGCGTGCAGCCAGGTTCGTTTGCGATTTTGCAGAAGTCCTTCTCTTTCATTGCTTGAAGCCATTTCTTTGTTTTTGGGTACCTGAACAACATTATTTGATATTTAATCAAATTTGCATCCACAATGCTATACTGAAAAATACTCTTAATGAAAAATGCTTAAAAATCCAATTTGTCTCTGGTACTCTGAGATGTTATCAAGTACTATTTAAAATAATTATAAGCCTAGCAATTTTTATTCTGACTTTATTTTAAGAATAGCTGTGATCGCGACTTCGTCCGCGTAGAATAGTGACTTTCGGCAGCATCTTTAATTTTTAGTATTCCGTACCCAAAGGGTAAAACGACAACCCTATTACGTGAGCTTTTGCGTCAAAATTGGACATGTTTCTTTCAATACTGGGCTTGATAGAAAAAAATTGCAAAGATGACTTATTAGATTTTATGGATCGTTTTTACGACTAATATATTTCATCTTAATTATATAAAGAATATATACAAAAATAGGTTTCGATATAATAGTGTAATATATATATTTTTATAACTGCATTTGTTTTTCTGTGATTAAAAATGTATAAGATTAGGCGAGCTCATCTTTACTCTCGATGCGTATTTGTATGGGAACTTAAGCGGAGGTACAACAGGGCCTTAACCTGGTTTCATTCACAGGATACACTCCATCTAGAGAAGAGACAGTTGCCACAGCGCATATATCTGCAATAGTCATGTTGTCATCGGCCAAGTATATTGTCTGCGAGAGGTAATCTTCTAGAATACCATATGCGTTCTTTATTCCCCATAACACTTCCTTTGTCAATTCAGTCATTTTCCCCATGTATGTCGGTGCCTAGAAATAGACTGACAACTGAGAAACATGCTGTTGATTTTCTTCGACCGATTTTAAGATTTAATTTGTTGATTTTTGAGATTTTAACATGTTGGCAGCACTTACCATTACAGCTCTAAGTCTCTGGAATAGTACACCACAGTCGAAGAACAGCCTTTGATTAACAGTAGCTCTTTTTCGTCTATCTGTAGGATACAGATATTGGTGTTCTGGTTTTCCATACTTATCGAGTAAGTAAAGGGCTATTGCATGACTGAAAGTTAAACAATAATAAAATAAGCTCTTAACTCCTTAATAATTTTTAAGTTGAAATATTAAAATAAAGGTACAATTTTCGTGAGATGTCATATCCTCGCTATAGTTGGCTACGCCTTCTTCTATCTATCATCATCACTGTAATTTTGTGCCACGGGCCCCCAACGCCAGCCCTCGTAAATGTATAAAAGTCAAAACTTATATGAAGTTTCATATAACTTTTGACTTTTTTAAAAAGTTTCGCAAAAGCCGGTTATAGGTTATAGGATGGGGGACCAAACTATAAAAAAATGTAACCGGCTATTGTGAAACTTGATGAACCTCCGCATCATAGATCGAACGTGCTAACCACTACGCCATCGAGCTTCTCAAGACTGTACTATGTTTTGTCGTCGATATGATTTTTATATTTTGTATAGGAAATTTATAATATGTTCGTCAATCACCTGTCGCTCAAGCAAAAATCACCTTCGTCTATGAAAGGTACGGTGCGCATAGGATTTTTCTGGAAACAAAAAGTACCTTTTGTAAAATAAACACTTATGCAATATTTGTACTAATTCATACTAATAAATAATGAGCGACACGCGTAACTCAAATTTTTATTTGTTTATTTATGAAATAATATCTAATCATTCACAATGTGATCACCGTCGTCATCTACCACTGTACACCAGCGATTAGGCAAAGATTGAATTGCGTCTCTGTAAAGTTTTGCCGGTTAGGGTTTGAAAAAGTCATCTATGTAGGTACTGTTGTAACTGGGGTTCGTCATGAAAGCTTTTTTCACGCAAATTATTACTATTTTATAAACTAAAATCTGTTGGCGCTAAGTCCGGTGAATACGGAGGAGGGAGGATTACAGAACACGTTCGCTGTGCTCGTGGTATTGCTAGGAAGAATTTGTCTGTATATTACTCCATGTACATGTACATACATTCCACCATACCGAGAGCATCACCTTGATCTTTTTCTGGCGTAGATTTGCCTGGTTCGTTGCGGTCTAGCCACTGGAGCTTGCATGTATGGTTTACATACATAACCCACTTTTTGTCTCCAGTGATGAGATGGTCTAGCCAGTTAAATGTATGACGAAATGATAATAGATGTGCACATATCTGCACAGTAAATCTCTACACGGTAAGCAAGTTGATCCTTGGTCTGCTGATGTGGTATCCAAACGCCAAATTTGTAAGACCTTCCTAATGCATGCAAATGATTTTCAATCGTACCATGAGAGCAACCAAGCCCAAAACCAAATCACGTGTGCTGCGTCAAGAGGCTTTTTCATTTAACGACTTTAGTTTATTTACATTTGTTTCTATTTTTCCGAGCGCCGAAAAGGAAATGAGTTTCGACAAATCCGCAACACTTGAGAGATATAATAAGTAGTCAAAAATGTAGTCACTGACCTTCTTCATTTCTGGTGAATCTTGATCTCTCAATATTGGGTTCAACTCACGCATTTCAAACTTTAATCCGAGTATGTAAAGTGTCATTTTCACTGCCCTCGCTGGAGGACTAGCATCGTTTTGATAAACAATGGTATTCATGTTTCAAAATAAACAACTTTGAATAAAAAAAAGACCTGCGGTAGATAGGTATTATTAATAACCTAAAACATTCATAATCGAAGCACAAAATCGTTTAATTATTATAATATGAAGGTTATACAATATCTAAAAAAAAACACCAGCTAAACACTGTACCTACTGATAAAAATAAGTATAATGTAAAGTTTTTGAAGGTTTATTCACACAACACGTTAAACAAGTCTTAACTTTCGCTTCAAATTCAAGATTGTTTGTGCTATATCATTTCTTATCGCAATCTATAAAGGGTTGTTCACACGGGGTTAGTACACCAGTTAGTATTATAGACCAAAAATTAACCACACTGTTTACACTGTACACGTATTCATGAATTACAGTCGTTGACTTGCTTAGATTTAGAGAATCACTGGCAATAATATTATAGAGCGAAAGAATGTCCAAGTACATAATAATAATAAAAGAATATTTGTCATAAGATAGTTGATCGACCGATTTTACGTTTACTATACTCTTGAGTTTACGACTCTGTGTAAACACGCCTTCATGTCGTATTTCGTTGGCACTGATAAAAAAATACATAAATAATACGGCAGGTGGTGACATCTCGTTACATTAACTTAAACTAAATAGAAAAAACTACCATGCTCCTATGGCAGCCGCTTTCCTAACAGTATAAGTGCTTTAGAACCTTCCATTTATTTTAAAGTTTACACATGACTGTAGATGGCAGCAGCTGAGCAATGTTTGATAAAAAATACGTTTGCTACTAAAAAAATAGGATATGGAAAATGGATAATATTTAAATAAAAATAAACCGAGATTTTCAAAAACTTCTATACCTAAATATGTAATACAGTTAGACGAAAGATTTATTATTTTTTTGTCTACATGGAATAGACTCTGAAACTATTGGACTGATTTTAAATATCCATTCACCCACGGAAAGTTAGCGGGGATGACATAGGCTATAATAATTTACGCGGGCGAAATCGCGGGAAAACAGCTAGGTAGGTAATACCTATTATGTAATGACGCACCGCATCCGTTCTCCTGATATACCTACCTATCGGCCTACATTCTATTTAGCGAATTAACTAAAATACCGAATTAATCATCCGAATAAATAGTCCTTATTAGGTGGGTAATCTATCACGAAATTTTGACAACTGTTATTGTATAGGTACTATAGCTATATCGAATAGTACTAGTAGGTACTTAGTTACTTAGATCATGTAATGACGTCGGATTTCCTCCGTAAAGATAATGGCGATGAAATCTAATGAAAATAGTATTTAATAATGTAACGTTAATGTTTAGGGTTCCGTCCCCATAGGTACAACGGGAATCCTGACTTAGCTGTATGTCTGTCACCAGGCTGTAATCTAATGAACCGTGAAAGTTAGACAGTTGAAAATTTCACAGATGATGTATTTCTGTTGCCACTTCAACAATATTTAAGGGGGTCCATACAACAAACACGATTTTTTTTGCTCGTTTTCGGTACGGAACTCTTTGTTCGTGAGTTCCAATCGCACTTAGCCAGTTATTATTGCGTAATTTATTTATTTTTACCAAAATCTACTGTCAATGTTATTGATTTCAGTGTTGAAATTTGAAACGCTTATTGAATGTAAATAATATTTTACAAGAGAAGAGAGGGATCAAAGGAATCACTGCTACTTCGTTCGCATCAGTAATGGCCTATATCATCCGGTATGATGTAGCTTCCTGTAGGTGAAAGAATTTCCCAAGAGCACCCTTTATATTAAAAAGGGCTTGGTACTAAAAAAAGGAACAACGAAAAAGTGAGGAGTAAGCTCAAGGTAATAATTTATGTCACCCATTCCGTGTCCAACCCTAGCGAAAGTTGCTTAACAATCGCGAACCGCGACGCTTATGCTACGCCACTGAGCTACTTGTAAGATATACGCTAAGTAACTAATAAAATTCATATGATCGAATCTAAAGATCCACCCTAAACGAGTATTAGAATCATGAAAAGGTTTTGAGAAAAATAAATTCTATTAAATGTGGGTACTGATTTAACGAGGTATCTTATATTAGATTGATTTTATTGATACGAAAGGCAGGAAACACGCTTGAAATACTTGTCGTGATATTAAAAATTATTCCGGGTGAATCTTCAAATCCGACAGTATTGAAAGGAGCCTAATTAAATAAATAATGACCTAATAGAAACTAATAATTCGTAAACTAAAAGCCTGAGAAATTCCCTTTTGCTCTTAACTGGAAAACAAAATCGAAACGTTAAAAGGCTATAAGATATATTTAATAAAAAAAAAATAACAATAGCTTATGTCTACCATTCACAATACGACGGACACAAACAGTCTGATAGGATCTTTTTTTTATGTCTTTTATTTCTCTGTTATTTGCAGTTTCCCATTCCTGTATCTTTTCTCTTTAGAAAGTGAATTTTGGTATATGTACTTATAGTTAGTATTTTTTTAGCTCCTTCCGTTTTGCGCTAAACTTCTAATTTCTACAGTTAATGACAAGCTTCATCAAATTGCATTGGACCCATGTGGTGAGTTTTGGCCTGTCCCGCCTATTTGCTTCCAAGGAAGGCTTGTGCCTTTGCAGGGATGTTAATAGATGATGATGAGAATATTTTGTGCTGTATATTACATTATTAAACATTTAGATCCTTTGTAGATGTTTTGTATCCTTCAATAATACCAATAAAAAAATTCTCTCCGATTCGTAGCATTATTATTCGTTTACATTTTACTTAGAATTTCCCGGGAGGGTTTTCTAGTATAGCAAGAAGCATTTAACTATTCTCCAGTATTATCATTCCTTAAATAGTAGATTTACAGGTTATTTATGATAATAGAACCTTAAATAGAATTTTAGTTGGTCTTCCATATTCTTGGTTGTTTATCAAATAATTACCAAAGTGCCTGTCTTAGGTACTAATTTAAATAAGTGATGGTGTTCAGTGGAAAATTTGTTTTCTAATTTCATGTAAATTAAATACCTATTTCAAAGAAAGAAATAAAAAAAATCTCGTTAGTAGGTACTTTATATTTCTTTACCCCTTGCATTTGGATAATATTGGTGTTAAAAAATAAGTATTTTAGATATATGTATTTTAGAAAAGACTATGAAGGTGGTTAAAAAATTCAATATTGTCAAAGGTAATTTCAATAAGGCACATTAGTAAATAAATACGAAACAGATTCAGCATAATGAGTACGCCTTATAGCTTCGGCCAACATCACTGAAATGTCAATGGTTTGTAGTTTCGGACACAATTTCATGTGCTGCTCTTGGGGTATTGTATTTGTAACGACTATCGCTTCTAGATGTGAGTTGTTAATTTTCTCAATAGCGTTACCGGCAAGGACACCGTGAGTGAGAATTGCATATACTTTACTAGCACCAGATTCATGTAACTTCGCCGCTCCTTTGACTATAGTATCACAAGTATCGGCAAGATCATCCACCATAACGGCAATTCTATTTCTCACATCACCAACAAGTACAGTTGAATCACCCTCATTTGCTCTCTGTCTTTCTTTGTGTATGATAGCAAAGTCGATATCAAGTCTATCGGCTATCGCCGTCATTCTCTTTGCGCCTCCAGCATCAGGGGAAACCATGACGGCACTCTTCCATTCCGGAATATTCTCTTTTATCCATTTTGTGATTGCTGGTTCAGCATAGAGGTTGTCTACGGGAATATTAAAGAATCCTTGAATTTGGGAGGAGTGCAAATCGATTGTAATAACGTGGTCAGCACCGGCGACTGACATCAGATTGGCTAGTAGCTTTGCTGTGATCGGCGCGCGACTTTTATCTTTCTTGTCTTGTCTGGAGTATGGGAAACAAGGTACGACAGCCGTTACACGAGATGCTGCTGCAATTTTGCATGCGTTAATCATGATGAACAGTTCCATTAAGTTGTCGTTAATATCTCCGCATCCACTTTGAACGATGTAAACATCTTCACCTCTGACAGACTCGCCGATTTCTACATTAGTTTCTTTATTAATAAAAGTTTTCGTTACGGCCCTTCCAAGACTGATTCCTAGTTTTTCAACAATTTTCTTAGCAATGTCGGGATGGGAGCTTCCACTGAACACTTTGATGTTAGGCATTCTTGCACCAGGGTTTATAAAACTTCTCTTCTGTGTGACTTCTGATGTTTCTTCTTGGCTTTCGTTTTGCATTAGATAATATTCGTAATAAAGTTATGTATCTATTTGTTATTGTTCACTCGCTTCACAGTTCAGACGCCGGTAATGAACTGAGATTGTTTTTGTTAATAACATATTTATCTAAGTTCATGTAGGGGTCGATTTGAACTATCGGGATTCGTTGTCCTCAGTGCGAATGGATACAGCGGTTATCAGTCAGACACATAAACAGTTTAATGTTGTCTGATTCGTATTACATCATTGATTGCACAGCTTATTTACAGGTTTAATGTTTTATAATTAGTAACTGATTTTGTTTTGTACAAACCAATATAGGTTTGTTGAACGTCCACATTCTAAAAACATTAATGCTTAAAACATTAGTAGTATACGGATAATGGTCGGATTTCCTTTATAGTAAAAGCAGAATTAATTAATCAAAGATGTGGCATTTACAAATAATCATGAATTTGAATCTCAGATTGCTAAATCAAGTATTTCCGAGCTTGTATCGTTCGATCGTTTAGTGTGATATGTGCTGCTCTTGAGCCACGTATCAAACTATTCAATTAAATGCATCAAACGATTCTGAGAGTGAAAAAAGCTATAAATGCCTTTATATCCGATACTCTATATATTTTTATTGAAGTCAATTTTAAATTAATTCAAAGAATATATATTCTCTATTTTGTACATCACCAGAGGGTTTGTTTAACTGTTCATACTTAGTTACGGTAGATTTAAGGAAGTTTTTAGTACATTATTTAATATTTTGATGAAAACGTATCTGGGTGGAGTAAAACAAATGTAAGTTATAAGTTTCTAATTATTTTCAGACGAAGTTGAGTAATAATTTATATTGAATATTATAGTTAGTTTTTTTGGTGTTCCATTTACGAAATTTAAAATATTATTCATAAAGAGGAAATTCTATTAAACATAAAATGAAATTCAACTCGAAAGGGTGAAATTTATGTCACCATTCTCTAGATCGCACAAGTCTATTTCCGTTGTTAACTGTTTATGATGGTCAAAATTGTTTTCTTCTTCACCGAGGCCGTATATTTTAATTTTATTAATAATTTTAGCCCATAATGCTTCGTCACTGCATAAAGATGAGAAGTCACTATCATCCGTATTGATAATAAGATCGGTGTTGTTCACTCTGAAGTGAATTGTCATATTTTGTGATATATACAACTTTCCTTCTGCAACTCTGACTTCATTTATTTCTTCTTTAGTGACGTTAGTCGTTTCAGAGGCGATAACAAGGGTGTAAGGAGAGTTTTTGCGTGTAGCTTCGGCTGTTGCACGTACATCCTGAAAGATAATAAAATATGTGATGTCTACATTAACGAAACTATCGTCATCTGCGTATTAATATGAACTGCTGACGCATAAGCTTTCCCTTTGGATGAAATCTATACAAATAGTAAGATTTGGTTATGCCCTACCACGCGGTCCCAGTGCGGATTCATGGGTGTTAACGGCTGCAGATGCAGCCGGGACACAGAGGAGCTCGATATTATAATTTTTTGGTCACCAATCTAATGACATATTCTTGTGCAAGTTGCTTAACTTTGGCATCGCTGAAGCTCTTCAAAATTGCTACTAAGGAGGGTAAAGAATATTTGTTTAAGTTTCTGACCAGTTACTATTCGCTACATCTTCACGGACTTTTTAAAATATTATATGTTATTGGAATTATCATAAGGCAGAAACAAATACGTAATAACAGTAGAACTAGGACACAGAATAAAATATGCCCATCAAATATTCATTTCGAGAATAGTTTTAGTTCCAGAATACGATTTACATATCACCCACGTTGTCCATCCAACATGAATGATGACGTCATTATGACCAAACGCCAAATATAGAATATTAATGCCAAATTTGTTCTTCGAATCAATGTTGTTAAGTTAATATAGGAAGGTATATTGAGCAATGACAGGTTTGCGATTCTGGTTTTTTTTTTTACATTTAACAGTTTTGCAGTTAAATATAGGCTCTAAATATAGATAACCAAAAACTAATCATGTTTCTTAAAACTTGCAACCATTCCTAAAAAAATAGATGGATGTATCGATTTGTAGATATCAATTTTAAATAAATTTAGCCTATAGAGCTTGATTGAGTTGGAATTATCAAAAAGTATATTTTCAAAGATTACTAGGATTACCGTTTGCATTATAATAATCGCTCCTCCACGGATAAATGTCAAGAAGTCAGCTTCAGTAGTTGTCATGGTAACCACTTCACCTTCATCCGCGTCGATCTTCAATCCACTCCAAAATTCATACCAGATCCCTGGAGGAACCCGTACATGAACATGACTTTGGATAGGTTGAAGATTAGGAGCTATGAGCAGACTATCGCCAACGCTAAATTGACTGCGCAACTCTATTAATTCTTCATTATGAGGAAACTGGTAGAACATTGGTCTTAAAAGCGGACCTTCTTGTAGCACTGTGAAGAAATATGGAGAGAGAGATAATCTCTTGTTTAGGGCATCTATGATCAGATGCCTATGAGTACCTTCAAATGCCAAAGGATCCCTAGGAGTTGATTTAGAGTGAATTTTAACGGTAGGAAAGAAAGTGGCTGCCATATACCATTTCACGCAAAGATTCGCTTGATTATCAATATTAAAGTTTGCAGTGTCTCCACACACAGGTGAGGACCATAGCCAGTGCCCTGATATTCCCCCTAATGCTGTCTCTACCAGCTCATTTTGCAAATTTGTCCAAGATGTCTGAACATTCTGTCTGTTGATGATGACGTTCGTATTCATCCATTGACTACTAGACCAGGTTGGGGCATCCTTCGTTATGTTTTTTGCCATAGCTCTAATAAAATTGCTGCCATAAATATTGTGTTCTTCGAAATATCGCTGATCTGTTCCTGGTTTGGTAATATTCCATTGTGGTGTGTTGTTAAATGCGATTCCAAAGTTCTGTAAGCAATGTTTTGATTAATTTATATGTTATTAATGTTACTGGTAAACTATTTATTATTTTACAGTAAAAATATTTTACCAATATGTTTGATACTCTGTAAAATACAGCGTCAAGCACAGCAATGTCGTAGCTTTGTAGGTTCAATCAAATGAAACCTTCATTACATTTTAAAGAATCTCTAATGCTGTCGGAGTGCTGTGATTGACACATCTGACATTGTATTTATAACAGAATAGTACACTTATGCTCTCCTTTGACGTAGTCAGTAACGATCGATAGACAAGAGGCATGGTCTTTACAGATTATCTATTTGACTTATATTCGCTTATGAGCTTTTACCAAACATGTATGTTACATAATTATTAGTAGTTATGTTATTTCAGCTCTACCAAACGAAAGAACAACTCATAATTTGAAACGCGCTTCCTGCCCTCCTTTTGAAGTATTCCCTAGTTTCAATTTTCAATTTTAACCAATTACGAAAATGTGACGTAAACATTAATGTTCAAAAATCTACTTAGTCAAGATTAACCCAATTGGTGAATGTATCTTAGATGTAATTATGTATTAGAAAATCTCACCTTGTTAAAATATGGTAATGCAGAAGAAATATCTTCATACAATTTAAATGATTCATCCAAAGGCCAGTTATTTACTAACACTACACCGTCAACGTCTGCGTCAACGTTCAAAGCCCATAATTTTGCCATAAACTCCTCATTAACTACTTCATAATCTGGGTAAACTACTGGCTCATCGATAGAATTAATAGATCCTTTGTAAACGTGTGTAGAGTTCCATTGTAGCATAAAATGTTCAAACTCACAAACAATATCTAAACAATCCATCGATTTGACTGTTGTTGTTGAAATAACGTCTGTATCATTATTGTCTTCAAAATTATTATCTTCCAATATATCTGGGTAGCGAATCTGAAATATTTTTTAAGCTAATGAATAGAATGTAGCTGACTATAATTTATATAATAAGCAATCATTTTTAAGGTAAGGTATGCAAGAAGGCAAAACTGAACCCTTATAGGGTCAGTTAAGTGTCTGTTTGGCTGTTCGTCTATGAAGTTAATATAATTCCAAAATACTGGACAGATTGAGTTGAATTTGTTTTATGTAAGTCGCCGAACCAAAAATTTATGTAAAATTAAAAACATGAGACACCGCTTTTGGAAGGAAAATCAGAAAATTTTATAATATTTAAGGAAATTAACCATACACCCTCATTTCTCCTAAATATTAAAGAAAATACTTCTTCACATATACCTTCCTAAAGAAGTAACGTATAAAAGTGTTGGATTAAAATATATTATATTTATATGTACGGAATCCTCTATGCACTACTCGCACTCACACTGAACTGTTTCGTTCATAAATTGTAAACGGTATTAAAAAAATTATGACGTTGACTCTGATTATTTTTTATATCTATAATATATAAAGCTTATCTTGAATATAAATTTAAATTGAGATATGGTGACAATGGCCCTAACAAAAGTTCAAAAGCTACTGACTCAGTTATATACTGCTTAAATGGCTTCTCAACGCGGTAAAAGAAAACAAATTTTATTTTTAATTTCATTTAGTTACCTACTGACTTACGGGGATAAAGTTCAAAGTTTTATCCCATTATGACTTTTGGCGATCGCAAATTGAGCTTTGTATTCATCAATAATTGATTTCTTGCGATTTCGCCCGCGTAAGTTATAACCATCGAACTCGAAAAAAAGCAAACGAACAAACATACAAACAAATCTTTCCTCTTTCTGATATTATCATACAAAACATTTAGAAGAGGTGAATGTAGATGAAAACAAATGTAAAAATATATAGCTTACATATGGCGATATATGAGGTACAAATTTCTTGTTTGCTATCTTCAAAAGTTCTATTCCAGCTACAACAGCAGTCAAATCCTCAGTTACATTATCTGCGTTAAAAACTATTGGTCTGGTACCACAGTGGCTTTCGTATGGAAAATTAATTGCTGTAGCGTCGGTTATAAATGATTTAAGATAATTCACTGCTTCATCTTGATCCTCTGTTGTTTCACTGTAAATTTATATACGGAATTAATAAAAATAATATTAAAATATATATAATAGTTGCCTCTCATTAAAGGTTGCATAGCTGTATAGCTGCATATATATCATTAGATATATATGCAGTTATACATTTACGTAAGGTACTCCCCCTTTATTGAGGAAATTTCTCAGCCGGTTTTATTAGATAGGCTTTTGTTTTGGCCTTTGTCTTTCGGGGATGATCCATGTGATTGGAGATCCCCAGATAATTCTTACGTAAGTTCACCAAAACAAATAAAGTTAAAATGATTAGCATTTGCTATTTCCAAAGGCAGATATTTTTTTGTTCGTTGTTCCTTTTGATTAATTCTAAATTATTAATTCTAAATTATTTATCTACATGTTAGTTACCTTATACGACCAAAACAGATGATAGGATTTTTTATTTATCAGATGTGGGCATATTGACAAATCTCCGTAATAGTATGAACCCAGCAACCTTATAGTTGGCTCAGAAGGAAAGTAGGCACCTATACTTTTTCGATTATTTTCATTAATAACAGATGGGGAGAATAAAAAATAATAATGTTAACATTATTTTACAATAATTAATTAGTTTACAATGATGAAGTACTTCTGAATTAGTTGGGTAAACGATTGGAAGCTATTAAGCTATTTTTTAAATAACTGATAAACTTTGTTGCAGTCGAATTACTGTTGATGGTTAAAACAGTATTATTGACAATTAAATTTTGTTGTAACGTTATAAAGGCGTTTAGTTTGTTGTATTGTTATAACGGCCTATTCGGCGTATATTAGTGTTAAAGTATTTTAACGTAGTTTTAACTTTATATCAGAATATAAAGTTTAATTTAAAATTTTTATATTACCTACAAACATGAGCTCCAAGCATCCAATATTCTAGCTGCATTTTATTTCCTAGTAAATCCATAACATCTCTCAAGATATCTTTCGGTTCAGGTCCAAGAAACAAATGCAGTTTTAATCCAGATTTTGCTATACTTCTGACTATAATTTGATTATTTTCAGTTACATGAACTTCAGTTGGTTTAATTACGTCTATTAGAAGACCATGGTATGAGCCATTAGATTGCGCGTAAATCAATGGCAAAGAGCTCAATCCACCGTCATGATTGTATATGATTTTTGTAGTTCCTTCTCTAAGTGGTAAATCTCCTAGACCAAACATGAGACCATTAGTCAATTTAAAGGTTATTTCCCAAATATTTTCAGAAGCAATTAAGGGTCCTCTATCGGTATTAAAAATTGTAGAATCATTGATACGTTCCACTATCACATTAAGTTCATGAGATGATATCCTATAGTCGTATTCTTTATATTCAATTCTTCTTCCTTGTAAAGACACTTCCTTTGAATCATAAAATGTTAATGACAAGTGTGTAGGAGAAATCTCGTCAATTGATAATCTAAGGCTTTTCACACTATTTTGTGAAGCGAATGGAACGGTGGAGAACCTCGGTCTGAGAACTACGTCCTCGTGCCAAGCTTGGTCCATAACATAAGAAAACCTTGAGGGAAATCTGTGAAAGCAAAAGTTTGTGGCCAAGTCATAACAACATTGTTTATGACAATCTGATTGAGAAATACTGCCAATTCCACAAGGTAACCTTGCTTCCCTTTGGACGAGGCAGGAACCGAAAGATAGACCGTCTGATGGTGGCCAATCTTTACTAGAAGCGAAGAAATATTTATACATCAGTACTGGAGCAAGGATAGTCAATAGGATAGCTATGAGTGTCACTTTCGATGGTCTGTTTAGGAGAACTTTGTCGTACCATTTCACCTCTGAAAATAAAAGAACAATGTAATTTTGGTTTCTCACAATAGATTACCGTTTATTTTTTTGTTATAATTCATTGACATTTCCTACTTATAATTTTTGATAACTTTTCATAATGAAGATGATTAATCTATTGGAATATTCTAAAATTTGAATCTATTGCTACTGCTAATTAATAAAATAAATACTTCTGGATTAAGATAATAATGTTATATTTAGAAACTTCTATCTGAGATAATAATGTTATATTTAGAAACTTCTCTATTCAGTCAGTGCCTATAAAGTACTAGTGCTTAGCTTCTAGTGAGGAGCTCGGTGGCATAGTGGATAAGCGTCGCGGCCCGCGATCGTTGTCGTTAAGCAATTTTCGCAAGGGTTGGTCACGGGATGGGTGACCAAAAATTATTATCTCGAGCTACTTCGTGCTTCGGAAGGCACGTTAAGCCGTTGGTCCCGGCTGCATTTGCAGTCGTTAATATCCTCCAATCCGCATTGGGCCATCGTGGAGGCCTGAGCTCCTGCAGTGGGGACGTAAAAGGGCTGGTAATGGTAATGATGCTTAGCTTCTTTGAGGTTGCCGCTGCAAATTTTAACAACGCCCGAGTATGCACCATGGTGAAATTGCTAAATAGTTGTTGTTGTTGTTGTAATAAAGGCAAATAATTGCGGCTAACCAAATTCCTTCGTACCGATTAGTAACTGATTAGGTCAATCGTTAAAAAATGTGTTGATTAAAATTTTATTCGGATAACCTTTTGTTATTTCGTAGTCATAGGGTAATTTTTCTTCGTCCTCTTCTTTGAAATTGCCGGCGTTAGCGTATGGTATCATTGCGATATATTACCTGAAAAATAAATCCACATGAATGAGGTCATATTTGTAGGACTTATGATAGTTTTAAGATAAGTCCCCGTGCATCTTACACTGCTATTTTTTTTTATTTGATTTGGAGGTAGGTACTAATATTTTCAACTTTACGGGTATTTGTGAAGTTGCGTAAGAGTTATCAACATGGTAAGTCCGATTTTCCATTTCCCTTTTTTTACCCCCATTTTGCTGTTTGTTTTTCGTTTCTGTGTTATACATTTATCCGTGACTTTGTCCTCATTATTAAGAAAGCACTTACACTTAAAATCACTAACTTGAAACTATACAATGAAACGTATAAATTTACTATAAGTTATAATATTACTACTACATAATATTTCAAAGTAAAGCCAATCAAGCGAAGTCTCTCGCATAAAAGCAGCGGCAGAATAAGACCACTTTATGCGAAGCAATTCGTGCCTTAGCACATATCTACAAGTACTAAGCGAGTCAATTTTGTAAAAAATACGTATTTAATTCAAAGAGAGAGAAACGCGTGGATTTTCAAACAGAATTATATTTGTGATAGATAATAGCTTATGGACTAATACATTACTGCACAGAAGTATGCTTTATTAGGCGACCGATCTTTCATCAAATGTGCAAGGTCGAATGTACAATTTACTCAAGTCGTGGTAAAACAGCTGGTATCGTATAATTTGTCAGTTCTCATGTTCCACGAAACACGACACATTTTCCGTCAGCTATCCGCACATACTCAGTTAAAACATACTAAATGAACCTTGTTACGCTGACCGCGGGTATAGTGGCTCACACTCACATCGCAACTATTAACCCGATTTCCTTGCCTTTGACATGAAACGATCGACATGTCCTGATACTAACCACACTTATTCAGAGTGATTTATGAGGCATAAAACCATCCTACTAGATCTATTTAAAACAATTCTTTCTCCTATGGGAAGCTACATCACACGCGGGTGAGAAAGGCTATAAAAATATTACAATATAGGTAAATATACCTTTGGTAAATATAATCTGAAGACAACAAGACCTGCGTCAATTGAAAAAGATAAAACATTAACTTGGTTACTTATTTAGCCACACATCACTATCTTGTACCACTTACAAATGTAACATTAGTTTTCACTCAATAACAATTATATATATAATAATATTCACTAATTTTAATAACAATAAAAAAAGTCACCACTTGTCTTCGTTTGGTTTGTTTATCTGTTAAGTGATGACGTACTGCGAAGTTTGATAGGAATCTATAGAAACGATACGATAAGTAAATTATTACTTGATAAGATAATTACTCATCAGGGAAATAATTATAAACATTGAAGTAGTCAATTTAAAAAATGCTTCATTAATATGTATGATAAATAATACACAGGAAAAAATTGTAGACAACATATAAATGATAACTAATTTTACTTGTTTATTTATTGTTACATAAAAGTAACGTTTTTTAAACGTATACTCTTCACTTTATTTAGATATCTGCTATGTTGTTCTGGTAAAATAAACCGGTCAAGTGTATGTCGGTCTCATGCGTACCATTATGTACCTATTATGTTTTTTTTAATTTTATAGCGGCAACAGAAATCGTTTGTGAAATTTCAACTGTCTATCTACCTATGGTTCATGAGATAAAGCCTGGGGCTGCAGTCTCGACATTAATAGCGATACGATCGCAAAGTATCGAATGTCAAATTTTAACGAAAATAATTGTTTGCGGTAACGATCGTTACTTCAAATGCAAGTCTCTATTACCGAGTTAGCGAGCAAAATCGTAAACTATTCAGACGCTAACATATCGAAAATCTGTATTCATAGTGCAGTTTCCTAAAGGAGAAAATGTTGCCTCTGACAAAAGTATTTTAAATCTAAGGAAATCAAAACAACGTTTATTGTTTATAAGTTATGATTTCATGTTCAATTTAGCAAATAAAAATAATAAAAAAATGCGTACTAGAAAATTATTGCTTTTTATTTATTTTAAAAGTATAATTAATTATTAAATGTATTAAATAAATTTGATTATTATTGGAAATTAAAATTTGTTTCCTTGCAACATCTTGATGTCATCGATATGTCAAAACATTATTTTTTATTACGGTTACGCTGTTTCGTGAAAAACTTCACATAATTTATTGAAATAATTTGTGTTGTGAGTCATGGTGGGTCACACGTGCAGATTCAGATGCGGAGTCACACGTGCAGCAGGCTCCGCGTGCTCCAAATATTGCTAAGTATACACTTTTTTGAATTCACTTTTTTGATATGATTTTTACTTCTCTTTTATTAGAATATATTACTAACGTAATGCTATTTATTATTTTAGTATGCATTGGCAATACGGCTCCCAATACTCAAAATGAGGTGCAGTCAAGAAGGAAGAGAAGTTAGTACAATCTCCATGTTTATTGTTCATACTGCGATGAATATTATAAATATTTATAATGATAAATATTTTTATACTGTTTTTTTAGATCTCAATTCTCGCCGAAGTGTTGCAGAGCAACACGATTAAACTCAATTTCTCGCCACTGGAGAGTCAAATGCGGAATCAATGAAGGTATGTTTACACAATCTTTATTAAATATGATTTTGTTATGTATTTGAAATGAATTAATTAATAATAGATAAACAAAAATACCCAAACACATTATGAATTCAACAAGATTGAATATGAGACTAATACCTATATACGGGTAAAGAGACTCCCACATTTATATAGTTTATTTGTTATAGATGCTGGCAGCTGCATCAAAATTTCAGACAGAGGCTGCAATGAAGCAGGCCGAAGCTACATTGATTCATGCACAGGCAATGAGTAAAATAAATAAAAGTGAATTTACAACTTATATGGTCGTTTTTAATTTGTACACCTACCTACATAAAAGATATTGAAACAATAAATAATCTTAGGTATAAAAACAATCGATCAATCTTCTGCTAATTCTATATAGCATAAGAAATTCCGTCTCATCTAAAGCCAAAGGATTTTGGAGACATCGCCTGTTTCCGGCTATTTGCCGTCACCTCACCATTAGGTGTCGATGTTCAAGCACTGTTAAATCTAATGCTAAATATGCTTTAGCCATCACGTTTTAAATATCTTTATGACTAAATTTCCGATATAAATACCTCGAAATACCGTGAAATATCGAAAAAAATATTATTAGCGATCACAAAAGTCACTTATCGAGCTGTCAAATTTGGTCGCTAAGGAGCTAGCGAAATTCGTTAATTTGACAGTTGAACTCGCTTCGCTACCGACAAAAATCGATAACTTTAAATGTAGAGACTTGCAATATTCGTTAAGTTACGATCGCTATGAGTTAGCGACCGAATTCGGTGACATTGCGTTCGCAAACTGTGTCGAGACTACCGCCCCTTAGTAGGTTCTGTTTTTACTCTTTTGACACGGAACTCTATGGATAGCCATCAACCTGTCATTGAGCGCAGCATGTCTAGTCATAGAGCTTCAATGAATTAAAACCTTTATTACCATTTGAAACAGGTTTTATTTGATTGTAACAGCTATTATAGCGCTCAACGAGTAGGTAGGTGCAAGGTAGTGTATTCAATAGAATACCGCGACTGGTATTGATTTTTCTCGACATTAAAATAACATTATCCTATTAAACAGTATTCATTTCCATTTAATAATACTATATGTTAATAGACTTTGATGTTCTAACACAGAAATTATTCAAATTCGTCGGGTGTTATCATAGATTTGCATATTATCAACTATTGCTCGACGTTTGCGTGGGCAAAGAAATGGCTGCTGGGATAGGGATGGTGATGTTAATAGGGATGACGTCTGGGTAAATAAAGGAGTTCCATTTATTCCGTCTATCAGATAAAAGAATTTTGTGCGTCATGCCACATTTCAACTCAATGTAACGCCTTAATTTATTAATTACGCAAGAAATAGTATTTGATATTCTTCAAAAATCTACCTGATGGACAGGCAAAAAAATTAGTCATCATCCTTAGTCATTAGTTTACAGAATAACTCTAAACTTTAGTTAATTAAAAAATTCAAACATTTATTTGCTTTAGTTTTAATGAGAGATAAAGAGATAAAGCTTGTTTGTAGGGGGTGATCTTCGGAAACACTGATCCGATCTTGAAAACTCTTTCACCTACGTAAAGCTATCATACGGGTGTTATAGGCTATAATTTACGCAGGCGAAATAGTGGGCAATAGCTAGTAGTCGTAACTTAGACTCCTATGTACAATAATATAATAAGTTTATTGTTTACAGTTGTTATCTCAGCAGAATTGAAAACAGAGTTTCAAAGGTCATAACCTAAATTTAGTCTAGTTTGCGGAACAGGATTGCTTTTGTTGTTATTGTTATGATCAAGTAAAACCTCTAATTTATCCTCATTGTCAGTCTATTAATGTCGGCATTGCTAGAGGCACAGGCCTTCTCTATAGATGGAATTGAATCGAGTCGTATAGGTGGGCCATTACGCGTGCCCTATGCTGATCGATGATACAGATGCAGTCGGGATCAACGACTTAACGCACCTTCCAACGAGCACGGAGGAGCTCGACATAATACTTTTTGGTCACCCATTCTGTGACAATCCATTGCGAAAGTTGCTTAACAGCCATTTCGTAGACCGAACGAGCTAACCGTTGTGCTATCGAGCTAAGATAAAGGTGCGATAGGGGGTGGAGGGGACTTTTTTCTGTCGACTGGTGTTATTTTATTTGATTTGTATTTAAATAAACACATTGTTTCTTTATCTCAACTTACAAATTTTTCATTTTCGTTAAAATAAAACGAAATTAAACTGAAATGTCGATGATTTTAACAGAACAGAAGTCTTTAGTCGCCTTCTTGTGAATGCTGAATATCTTTTACCAAATTCAAAACATTATCAAATGATTTAATCAATTTGCTTCAGGCGGTCAACGGTTTAAACCAAGTATAAAGTGTTTTAAACCTTTCCCTTCTCATAAAAGCTAGTGGTATCTTTCTGTCTTGTGTCCTTTCTTTATTATTTTATTTCTCTTTTTATTTCGTATAATATATGTACCGTGAGCCAATCGTTGAATTGGGCCGATCGAGATCTTCCCCGGCATATCACGATATGCCGCCATATCTTAATTTGGCACCTAAATAAATAATGTATCACCTTAACCCCATTATTATTTTTATATTAAAGAAAGATTATTACGATTTTGAGTGGACTATATTACTTACGTACGTGCTATAGCTCATCTAGGTCAACCCATTTAGCATTGGGGAGACTCTTATTATTTTTTTTATTTCGTCTCTATGTGAAAACATTACATTAGCAAAATGGGAAGACCAAAGAAATGATTTAAATTAATTTCCAAGTTTAAAGCAATTCATATCATTTTTAATTGATACGGCTCACTTTCTTGACGCTACAAATAATAACAAATGTATAAATTCTCAAATAACAAAAATTTTACAAAGCATTTTCAGCATTTTCAGTCAAACTATCATAAGCAAACATTTCAAACAAAATCTGACGTAATTATAAATCAACAAAATAATCATACTATAACGTGACAGTGTATAATTGACGATCAAAATATACGACTCTTCAATGTTTAAATCAAAATCATTAGAAGATAAATTATCTAATGTGCCTAAATACCAACTATGTTAGAACTGTTTACTTCAATAAATGTTGTTGGTATTAGAAATAATTCTTAAAATTATGTAAACGAAAACTGTAATGTAAAAAATATAATTATAAAGAAAATCTAAATTGCTTTGTTCTAGATAGGCTCACAGGTGACCTTCCAAGGGCTCCGAACTAAATTTTTAAGCATTTTTCATTAAGATTTCTGACTTTGAAAAAAGTCGTCTCCAAACAAGACTGAATACCTTTTTTTCAGATAGCACTTCAGTTAACTAAGATACATAGCAATCATGGTATCACTATAGATAAATAGACATATTTTTACACCTATCAACTATATTATTGTTGATTTTATTATACTTTCTACTCACCTAGTTTATGTTATGACATAAATTCCAGTACCTATCGATAAACAACCTTATTCAACGGCATTTCTTTGTTCAAAATCAATTGACAGTTAAGGTATTATACTCATAGACTTAGTACTATATAATAGGACAGAAAAGCGAAAAGCTAGCAAGACTAGATATTAAGTACCATTGGGATACATAATTGGAGTAGAACAAATGTTCTATATATTACGTAGCTTATACAAATATTGA